ATAAATAACTGTTGATCAATAAATGCAAGACTTTAGCATCGCTAGACTGCAAGCTGGAGGTTATATTATATTATTTTTTTTCTCATTTGTACGGGTATCCTTTATCTTTTTTTCCGTTAAGTATCTGGTAATTATTATAGGCAAGTCGTTGGCAATTATAATGGCAATTTGCGTCGTTATCCAGGGCAGGATACTCAGAAGTATTTGTTATATTATATCTCCCAGTTAACTCTGTAAATCGTTCATAGAGGTTGTAAGTCCTGTCTGTAGTGATACTCAAAAACAATAACCCTTCATCTTGTGTCGGAGGGCCTGTAATAGAATAAACCCCGACAAAGCGAATATATTTCTTGATTCCATAAACAGCATACAGTATTCCTTCCAAGCTATGATAATCCTCATTACAGCTGTTTTATCAGAGAATAGTCCAGGAAATAAGTTTCATATGATATTTCAATGAAAAATATTAAAAGATAAAATCTAATCAGTCGGTGTTTGTTTATGTTTTAGCAGGCAAGATGGAGTTGATCGATGTACAGTTGCAGAGGTTCTACATAATTATTTCCTCAATGTGAAATTTTGAAGCTGTGTAAGGAATTAGACACCTTTTTTAGGGTGGAGAACGAAAGGGTTATAGCTAGCCTGTATCGACTAGCACCCAATTGCTATTATTTATACTTTTCATAATAATTTTTATTATAAAATATGCAATAGTTTCTTGAATCGTTTCGTAGAGTTTAAGAAGGTTTTATTGTGAACTGTAAATATATTTTCTATTAAATTTAGTTGTAATCTTTGTGTGAAATATAGTTATAGTTTTGTTTAATTTGTGGCAAATAAACAAGAAGTTTAAATATAGTCCTTGGGCTATAGAATATGGGTGAGACACAGACGTAATTTATCAGTATACTTTTATCCCACAAAACAATACTGTCAGCTATATGTATGTACTTTATCTTTTACCTGAATCATTCACTTCCCTGTGGATATAGAGAAATTATAGTTATTCCGCATAAAAATCTATAAAGACAACGAAATTATCACCTACCATAACTCTTCCCTATCGGCGCGAAACAGCGGTCGCTGGTTATTTTATTACATACATACTTGATTTTGATTGGCTACCTACTCATGCTGATGAACTCGATTATCCAATGGCAAGACAGGATTTGGTCGCTTCATTTCCGAGGTAACACGGCCATGCTCTCTAGCCCGCCGAATTTGAACGGAGCCACGAACATTGCCTCACGGTTCTGGAAGTATATTACAAGTTAGAGAGACAACATTTCATATAATTTATTTATTTTTATTAGGAATTCATCATATATACAATAAAAATAAATTATGGGTATGAATTACAAATACTTTACTGTACAAGTAAAAGTTCAATCTGCAGTATATATTATAATAGTGTCACAAAGATAGATAACACATTCAGATGTATTTATATTCTGGTCCTCAAAGTTTAAATGCCTGACTAATTCGCTCGGTGTCTGTATATGTAGAGTAAATATAAATACAGTACTGTATGTATATCACTTGTAGGTACTTAAATGAGCAACTAGGTATATATTTATTAATTGATATCACTACAAGTTTACAGGTGGTTTTGCATATATATATATATATATATATATATATATATATATATATATATATATACATACAGAAAAATCACTCACTGTGGTTTCCTTGAGTATGCACTGTACTTTTTCATTTTAGGTTTAAACTGCACTTTAATAAAAAATATAGCATTACAGTACTGTACTAAATGATCTACAATAAAGTTAAACTAAGGTATTTCACGAAGGTTGCAATTAAGATGGAATCATTATCAAACAATACAATAAATTCACTCTTGAATTTCACATTAGTCCATACACTGTAATATTGCTTCAAATTGAAGGGATAATTTGTTGTTGGGGAACCATTATTTACATAACTTGTTAGCTCTATCATTTGGATCTTTGACCTGGCACTAAATGGGCACCATCATCAATCTAGTGGTAAGAACATGTAGTTTTTCACAGTATTTCATGATCCACTGTGTCAAAGGTCTTATCTAACATTTTTATCCCCGTTGAGGAGTGGATGGCAGGTGGTGGTCATCCATACACATATATAATAATTAGAATTAACGGTTTATTGAAGGAGCATAGCAGCCAGAAGGCTGAAAATATACAGTTACATAATTGGGGAATGGGTTTCGATTTACAAATAATATACAAGTAACATAAGTGATACAAATAAGATATACTTGTATAGTAACTAGATGGGGAAAAGCTCAAACTACAGGGCATTTCAACATAGTGACAGTGCAAGAAGTAGGATTTACTGGGAGTGAATACACTGGTTTATTACAAGTTATTGATAATTTTTACAACAGTTGGGACTGGACTGTTCTTATAGCGATCAGTTCGTGCACGTATGGGCTGGATGCGGTTGTGGTGTCGAACAGCAATTCTTGGGCTAGGGATCTCAGGTGGTAGTAGGAGCCGGTGTCGAAGATGGTGCAAAAGCTTCTTACCAAATTTGCAGATGAGGTCGTGGTGATAGTCAGTGTGTTGAGCGCTTCTTGATATGTGGAGTAGGAAGGGGAGAATAATCTTGCAAGCCCTCTTTTGCACTTTTTCTAGGTGTTTACGTTGTGTGGCATTTAGGGAGGAAGACCAGGTAGGGGAGGCATAGGTGAGCTTGGGAAGTATGAATGTTGAGTAAACACTGAGGAGCTCAGGTGCAGGAACTTCAAGGGATTTGAGTCGGCAGAGGAGGTGGAGAAGGAAACTGGAGGATTTGACAACTTCACTGACGTGCTGCCATGGTGTGTGCACACACGCTTTGGGGGCCAAAGGGTTGCAGGTCTCAATGATGCCACTAATGGTCTTGATTATGGTTGAGTAACCACCATGAGGTTCTCTCTTTGTCGTCACTTAGTTGGTGTGATGGTCATTGTAAATGAACAGGGTGTTAAAAGTCCCTATGCACCTGCTATAATAATAAAAAATATTTACCTTCTTCTTAGTAAATATTTGAAATGATCACAGTAAATGTTGGAAGTGGACACCATTCCCAATATTTACTGCAAGTAGAATAAGGTATATAACAAGGAACAACTAATGCAACTTGTAACTAACTTGTTTATTACTATTACAAATGCACAGGGACTTTTCTAACAGTGTATGTGTTGACATTAAAACTGTATTGTCTATGGAGGTGACCAAATTTGAAGAGGGGCTTGGGGATGACGAGTGTTGTTACCAGATCTGGGTTAGATCACATAGGAGGGTTTTTTGTAATTGTCAACTCAATGCCTGCGTTGCATTTACATGTACTTACGATTGATTTTTTTTCTATACGTACAGGTATTGTTGATGTGAGTACAGGCTAGGGGTCAGTTGTAGATTTATGATGATATAAAAGCTGATGTTGGCACTGTTAGGGGTCATCAAGAATTGTTTTGGAGAGACATTGACACTGGCTTTTTAACAATATTCCTTAACCCTTAGACCCTGGGCGTCACAAGACCCACCGAACCCCCCATGAGCATATTTAAAAAAAAAAAATTTTTAAATCCATTGTCACCTTATAAATGGGTTAATCAATATAAGAAAAATACCAGAAGAATGTACAGTACTTACAGTGAGTTCTGCTATAACGTGTGTTTTGACAACGCGAATTGGCTCTAATGCGATTTATGAATAGAGGAACGATATTTGTATAACGCGAACGCTTGTTTGCTGTAACGCGATATTTGCTTACTATTTCTCCAATTTTGTGGTATTAACTGTGAATATGGTAAAGAAGAATATCTCCAAGAAGCGTTCTGGTGATCGTAAAAGAAAGGCTATAACCCTTGAAGAGAAGCTCGATGTTATCAACCTCAAAATCACCCTTCTCCCCCATCAAGTTATATTCATATTTTTTCAAGGTAAAGTGTTACATTTACTGTATGATTTCATTATTAGATATGAATGTAACATTTATTTAGACTGTGCTATCCTTTGTGTTAGGCTAACTACTAAAATTTTTTCGATTTCGAGTAGTAATCCGCACCTAACCCTATTTTCTCCATAAGCCGTTATTTCTATTAAGCAAATTTCTATAACACGATGTTTTACAAAACACAACTATCGCGTTATAGCAGAACTGACTGTATATTCAACTTTCGTTGTACTGTAGCATAATTAGAGCTGTCTGTAGTGTTGATGAGCTGTGTGGAGTGATGAAGCTACAGAGTACTGCACACATCCCACAGTGAGTTTGAGACACAGTTCTTACTTGAAGGCCCTTGATCATATTTCTATCTTATAGCCACTTCATAATGTCTTATTATTTCATCAGCACTCCTTGCTGCAGGACAAATGAAAATTTTTGGACCTGCAATTTATTCATACTGTATTTACTTATTTAATGACAATAATCCCACTAAAACTAACTTTTGAGAGCATTATGGGAGAATGGCTGCATTTTGTAATAGGAATGTTCTTCCAGAACTTTTTCAAAATGTTCTTGATTCTGCCAAATCTAAGTACAACCAACAATACCAATCTTGCAAAATCCACATACCTATTGAAGTGCAAAGTCCACTATGAACATTACACTTGCACCGACAAATTACTTAACTTGCATAAAATTATATTAGAGTACTTGTTCATACACCCTGATTATAGTTTGTTAATCTTAGTTCAACTGACCACATCATTTATAGGTTGTGCAGTCAGTGTGATGACCCGTCAGACACCCACACATCCATACTGTACAGTACTACTTAGGATAATCCATTATAGTGTGGATCTAACACATTGTACAGTACTCTCAGTACACAAGGAGGCACTGCACTCAACCATCTTCCATTCTCCCAACTTGTAGATCCATTTGACAGAATACAACTACTGCACTTACTTGTGGTTAACAACTATGAAGATTAAATTAATTACATGAAATTTCCATTAACTAACACTTTATAGTTAATATCAGTAATGAAGGGATAAGGAAAGCAATTTACTTTTTTTTTATTTAATCAATCATGCACACACACACATCTTGACTCATTATATTTTAGTTATATTGTAATAGAAAACATGGCAATGTTGTGAAGCTGTGATGGTTCAATACTCCTTTACTTCTTTGTCTTCTTCTTTGGCTGTAAAGATAAAAATATATATATTTAACCGGGGAAATACTTTGACACTAAAAATAAATAAACAATGCATTTAGGTTCCTGATTATCAAAATCAAAGGTGGCCTCTACATTAGCACAAATTCTTTGCCTTTTATGGTCTTCCACAGTACTACAGCACTGTACAGGTACATGCAAGAATCAAATGTTGATCTGACTTTCTGCCTCATTTACACACAATTGCAGTGTCTCAATTGTTTCTCTTACCATTTACAACACAAAATACATAAATCATTCCTCACTATCTTTTTTTCATTTTGTATTTCTTTATGGTTCTTTATTATTATTATTATTACAGTATAATTATTATTATATTATTATTATCAGTGTTATTATTATTACTATTTATTTTTAATTTTGTATTTATTATAAATTATATTTACTTTGAACTAATTATTATTACATTTTCGCTCCCCAGGTCCCATTGTGGGTCAGTGACCTGTGTCCGGGTGGGCTAATCCCCCCCCCCCAAAAAGAAGATATATCCATGATAACCAGTACAGTAGGTGTCGGATGGTGCCAATGAAATGTTACCAGTACAGTAAATCCTCCGATAATGATGTTTCTACTAACGACGATTCATATTTAAGACCCTGGTCAATTTATGCCATTATTTTCTTCGTATTTACGACAAAATAAGGAAAAAAAATTCATATAAATAATAACTAAACCCCAACAGGTATTATATATATATATATATATATATATATATATATATATATATATATATATATATATATATATATATATATATATATATATATATACACACACACACACACACATATATATATATATATATATATATATATATATATATATATATATATATATATATAAAAAGCACGCCTTGCACACGGAGACTACCAGGCTTGTTAGTGGTGACGCCAGCATCACAAGTATAAACAGTCGCAGCTGGCGGGCCCTTTGTTTTCACGCAACTGAACAGGAAAAGGAGAAAAACTTTCTCAGGTTTCTTATGGCAATTTTGCATCCCTATTCAATATGAGCAAGAGAGTAAGTGGTGGTAGTACTGGTTCAAAAGCACATAAACAGTGCATTAAAATTAACAGGGACATGAATAACTCAAATGACCTCTACATAAAGATGTACAATGAGAAAAGAAAGCAGCTGTGCAAGGTTCTTTTGACAGCTTTATTATTCGAAGGCCTAAACCACCAACCTCAGCTACACCACCAAATTCAGCATCATAAGCAGCTTCAACAACAACTTCAGGTTCAGTAACAGTTTCAGCTACAGTTTTATGGAATTCTACAGCTTCAGCCAGAGTTGAACCTGTTCTGAGTAAAAACTCACACAATATTGGCTGTCCTTATGTTTTAGACTTTACCACCATTGGAGAATAAATTTTTTTTTACATTCGTAAGTATCATTTAAAACATATATGAACAGTAAATAAGTGTTGCTTTCATATTCTTATATGTAGAAAAATGACTATGTTTTCATATGTACGCACTTACCGGGTACACACGCTGGCGTTCCCAATCGTCTCACTTTATTTCTTTACTATTAGTGGTTAGCCACTTCTATTGTTCCATTCATTAACATTAAACAACATTACTTAAAACATACATACAGGTATTAATTGTTTTTTACATTAAGTTCACTACAGCTACAACCAAGGTCTATTTTCTTCAGTTTCTTTTGTAGAACCATCGTCACTCACGAAAACAATGCCGTCTTGTCTCCTCTTGTGTTTTAATATTCTATGTACTGTATTATTAATTAATTGCACTGTTCATTTCCCTATATAAACATTAATTCAATAATAAACAATAATGAATCTTTAGTACATATTCTTAAGATAAATGACTATGTTTCCTTGAGTGTGCACGTATACATTAGCGTTCCACTATCAGTCTCACTTTTTTCTTTAAAATCAGTGGTTACTTCTACTGTAAATTAATTAATATTAATTGAAACATACAAATTTTTTACATTAATTTTACTACAGCAACAACCAGGGGTCAAATTTTCTTCAGTTTCAGGTGTAAACACTGACAATAATGCCATCTCTTATCCTCTTGTGTGTTTTAATATTATTCGCATTATTAATGAATTGTATTGTTCAATTCGCATATACACTGTATAAAGTGTAATTCAATCAAATATGTAATAAACAGCAATAAACAATAATGAATCTTTTGTACATATTCTTAATAAGATAAATGAGCCGTTTCCTTAAATGCGCACGTATATTTTGGCGTTCCCAACCCATCTCACTTTTTTTTCTTTGTCATTAGTGGTTAGCTACTTCTATTGTTCCATTTATTAACATTACTTAAAACAAATAGTATTTTTTTTTCATTAATTTTACTACAGCTACAACCAGGGTCTTATTTTCTTATGTAAAACCATTGTCCCGGACTCCCGGCTGTAAACACTGACAACAACAATGGCGTCCCATCTCCTCTTGTGTGACCATATTATTATTCATTTATATTGAATAAGGTGCATTTATAAACATCAATTAATGAATGTAGTTTGCATTTTTCAATACTTTTACCCTGTACAGTATTGTTTTTGGGGAATAGTGGGTAAAAAGCCACACAAAAGATTCGAAAAGGTCACACTTGGGAATGCTTTAATTTAATGGTGATTCATGATACAATGATTACCTTATACTGCAATATTGGAAGACACACTACCGTCGTTATTTGAAGCTTTACTGTACATACTGTATAAGTAGCTTGATTTTTAAGAAGAGCTTCAAGCAGCTCTAGAACTGTTTTGACAAAACTACCAACCCAGCAATGCTGCCACACATCACAGGATTGTGCTTCAATTACCATCTGACGCAAGCATGCAACATGTCATGTAGGCGACCTTTCCTGTCTCCTGAAGAGGGTGCTGAGCTTGCTCTTTTATATGAGCCTGACTCAGTGCATGGTGGGTGTGTAATTGTGGGTGAGAGTGGATATATATATATATATATATATATATATATATATATATATATATATATATATATATATATATATATATATATATATATATATATATATATATATATATATATATATATATATATATATATGTGTGTGTGTTTAGTGGGAATACATTCATATAAATAAAATATATATGTATACCATGAAAAATATTAAGTACCACACTGCTTTATATGTATTTGCAGAGAACCAGGCAATAAATAGTGACATGTATGATATCCTTGCCTGCAAGTGGATAATACCCGAGGACGGTTATCCTGATACCTCATGTCCAACACAGTTGTGCGATGAGAACGGGAAAACAATGGCACGTGCATTTTGGAGAAATGAACCATGAAAATCAGGCAATATATCGATTTTATGCGAGTTTTTGCCAGCAATGATGTATTCTCGTTATCAGAATGCCAATGACGACTTATTTGTCATTGGCCCGCCAAAGTGTTAAAGAGATTACCCTTTAATGAAAACGAGTAAAATGTATCAAAAGTAGTAATTACCCAACAATAACGCATCCACAAAGGTCATATGCAATGCCCTGCCCCATAACAGTAACTTCTTTGGTAAAATAGAACTGGCATTCATAAGGAAGGCTGATATAGCAAGAAATCATAGGAAATTACTCTGAACATATTGCACGAGATCACTCTGATGTTTAGCCTGAACGTATTTTATTCCATAATATAAACCTCTTCCAGAAAAAGAGCACTGATCATATTCACCCATTAGCAGCAAGTTCCTCAAAAATTATTATACTGTGCTCTCCATTCATTCATGAATATTCAACCCTCTCACTTTTAGTACTTTATTATGGTTTCATATAACTTCTGATTTTTCAATCTATTCAATTGTACAAAACAGACCCATAGGGACCCCAAGTTCTTTATTTTTGGCAAGATAAGAATACAATCCTTATTGCTACTTAAGTAAATACATTGCCGATGGGAAATTTAAATATTTAAAAATAAATATGAAAAAGTTCTGAACTTACTGGGGAGTCCTCTACTTCATCCTCCTCCTCATCATCTTCGCCTTCTTCCTCGGCCAAATCATCCATGTCATCCTCCCCAATCACACTGGTTTCTGTTTGGTGCGTACCACTGATATACACTGGGCCTGAGCCTTTGGTCAGGTGAAAAGTGGCTACCTGGTCTTCTATGAGTACCTGTAACAATCTGATAATGAGTTGCCTGAAAACAATGAAGCTCACCTACAGATATATTTCTTCTCTAAAAACCACTCAACTTTTCGCTCTCCCATCATACTCACACCACTGTTTCCTTCATTATTTCCCTTCTACAATTATATTCATATCTTACCAACTTAAAAACCCAAATCACTTTGTCTGACCATTTTCACTTACAGATCTGCATTTCTCACTCTGTTCCTGTTCAGCCAACATTTTAATCTCATACAAATCATCTTTGGCACTTAACTTGCTGCTGCTTCTTCTTGGGATCCAATTTGTAACTCAGATTAGAAAAGAAAAAAATCGACACAGCACATCAATACTCACTTCAACATTTGTTACATAGGAGCTGCCAGCCTTTGAAACACAGATTGGGATCTTGAGTTTCTTGTCATTATGACCAAGTACCTCGAGTTCTACCACATTAGGGACATTGTCAGCATCAGGGCCCAACACAACCTATAATCCAAAATCTAAGTTAGTGTCATTGTACACATCTAATTATCCTGTTAAAGTTGGGTACATGTTGGAGCAGGATGCAATCTCTTAGAACTCCCAGAATATATATTCCCTGGCTCAGAATGGAGAGGTTTGAAGAGATTTCTCAGAATTTTTCTGGGAAATGTACCTAATTGTCATCCACAGAAACTTGTTCACAGGCCCACAACAGAGTTTTCCCAGAAATTTTCCAACCTGGTTTATACGGTAATACAGCCATCAAAGAGTTCCGGCTAACGGGAAGATTATTGTACATATGAGGCACAGCTGGTGAGTTGACAAGCAACAATAGTAAACACTGTGCAGTAGTTAAAGTTAAGCAACTTTGAAGTAGATATAATAGATATAATAAATGCATTTTAAGCCACTTGTCTTGTTTTCACCCGGAGCGCTTCATCTGTTCCTCATGTACTGAACTTTGTTATCAAATTTCATCACCTAAAGTTCCTAAACAGCTAATGTCCTCCTTGGTTCTCATACACATAACATGAAAGTATTGAGCCTTGGAGGGGGAATACAAGCAAATAACTGTACTAGCTCTAAAGAAATGATTTTACACCCAAAACTCTATACTGCATTCAATAAAGAACATTGAAAACTGTCATAGCCATAATACCACTGACCTCTATCCACAAATTACAGTGGAGTAAATATCAAGAAAGTTGTGCTCTTTAATATTTTTGCATTTGTTATATTAAAATTATTAGTCATTTGAACATTAATTTAACATATTGATAATATATGCAGTACAGGGAACTAGTTTTTTTGTGCACCCATCTGACGCTTGACTCAGCCACCAGGTGTCAGTTGGGCTTTGTTGACAGTGGAGTGAACCAGGGCTGTCGGAATTTCCGACTCTTGTTTATCGAACACGCTGATTGGTTCGTATCTGTTACTTCGTCTGCTAATCGGTAAATTGATGACGTAGTCGGTAAGCCGTGACGTCACTGCTCCGACAGTCGGTAAATTACCGACTTTAGGAAATATGCTTTTTCATGGCTAAAATACCATATAGAATACACAAATAAATTTTAGAAGTATTTAATTACCTTACCTACATTTTACGAGCGATATTCTAGCAGAATTATATTCTGCTGAGTCACACACGAAGCGATATCGAGAGTCGAGACAAGGAAGCCAACGGTCTGTTCCAATGTGATCTCATATTACACTCTGAATGGTGTATAATGCAGTGTTTATTATTCAGAAATTTATAAGACTAATGACAGGAACAATGAAATTCACCGAGTATGAGGACTACTCTAATATAGTTACTTTATCTGGGATCTTCGTTACCCCTCACCAGACATTATATTATATAAAATAGTAATTACGTCATGGACTCGCAACCAATCACAACGCGAGCAGTTGAACCAATCAGCGTGTTCGGTAAACAAGATTCGGAAATTCCGACAGCCCTGGAGTGAACATCTATTTTGTTGGTGTGTTGAATATTTTTGCATTTTTACATTGAAATTATTGGTCATTCTGAAAGTTAGTTAACATATTGATAATATATAGTATAGCACAGTGCAGTGTTAATTTAAATACAATAATCTTGAATTACACCAAATGACCTTATAATTTTATTGATGAAATGACTGCATCAAGCATGGGTCCCCTGAAAGGTGATTTCTCCTTCATCCCCACTTCCTTCTCTTCTCCCTTCTCCAACCCTACTTCTAATTCCCATCACCATTATCAACCAGGAACCTTCTACATACACACTTCAAAGTAAGTATACTTCATTGCATTTTTTTTTACTTGTATGTACTTTTCGGTGAGCTGGAACCAATTACCCAATATCCCATTGAAACAATGGATTCAGTTAACGAACGACCCTCTGGAACAAATTGTGTTTGTTAACCGAGGGACCACTGTATGTGGAAGACTGAAGCTGATATTGAATTTCTCAGTTTTTCATGATAAAGTTCTTCAGATTTTCCAGGACTTTTCCAGCATTGAAATAATATACTGTATTATACTATAGAAATGAATGTCTCCAGGACAGAATTTGGACACCATACCTGTCTTACTGATAACGTGTGGGTTGTGACAGTGCAGTCAACAGTGTTCTCAGTAGCTGTGCCCTCCCATTTTTGTTCCCTATGAGCAGCATCAAGTGTGATACCTGGGTAGGAGGGAGACAGTTATTAAACCTGAAAAAATAGACTTTCCACATTTTGATAAGGAGTTATTTCATCCCAGAAAGGTGTACAAATACATGTACAGTATACTGTAAACTAAACATCTGACCATAATACATACATGCAGAGAATAGCTCCATGTCCTGAACAGTAAGGTACTTATCCACAGATGAGTGCAGTCTACTAAAAATATTGGTACTGTATAGCAACAACTTTGAATTTTCAAAATAATTTTTTAAAACAGTAATAAAAACCAAACATACATATTCTAACTACCAAACAATCTTCAGAAGATTTGCTTTACATGTTTTAAAAGACATTTTGATGAACACAGATTGTGAAGCTTACCTTCATAAATACTAAATCCACCAATGAACTATGATTCTTGTAGGATCAATAATTATTTTTGACAGTTTAAAGAAGCACCAAAGGTGCCAAGGTCATGACATCAAGCATACTTCCTGCCTCTTAATTAATTTCAAAGTAATATTTTCCTCTCCCCCTAAACCAGTTTGAATTCTATGTGGTGAATGCAAAAGAATGGGAGCTTGCTATTTTTATTATATACCTGTATATTTTGACATGAAATTTTCCGGGGTAGCCAAGTCATGTGCGAGAACTCAGCAGTTGCCCTCTGCTTGGCAGCCCGTGAGCATAAGTTTACATGCGCCTCTAATGAACAGTGGTTAAGTTCCTGTGAAATGTTCTCGTTACATAAAAAGTGTTAAGTTCGTCAGAACAACTTACAGTACAGGGGCCCTTGTTATGCTGTACAGTATACTGTCTATGCTCATAACCGATGTTGATTAATTAAATTACTGCACTCGGTATAGCCACAGCCCCACATGTGCCAAGTTACGGGGTTTTTACTACAGTATATTCATTTTCATGTTTTTACTCATGATCAGGTGAAGATATTCTTTTCTTATAAGTTACCCGTACTGTACTTGAAATCATGTTAAAAATGCCAGAGAATAAGAGCGTCTGATTGTCACTATTTACCTATTTGAAACGATGGCATTAAATAATTTACAAATGATGACATGAACAAAATATCTTCTAAAAATGATTTGATGCCAGTTTCACACCAGCGAGTTTAGTGAATGATCCAAAGGTCTTATTCACATATATATTTACTGATTCCAGGTAACTCTCTCAGTTCAACTTTCATGTCTGTCACTTGATTATGGTTACATTCAATAATCCTTGAAAGATTTAAGTAAAGGCAGTGCCTAAATTACAGCTCACAGCAAAATAGCCTGACAGGATTTTGGGTAATTTTGTTGGTCAAATGTTTATGTATATGATAGAAGTACTGTACAAGTAATGGTAAAATACTAATTATTGTATTATCAATCACATATACTATTTAAGTTACCCTTACCTTACTTAACTTCCTTTGAATTGTATGTCATTCATTGCAAAGATAAAATTCCCGAGATTCAGTTGGTGGCAACAAATGCAATAATACATTCCCCCCCCCCTGATTTTCACCTCACGAGAAAAGTGTCACAGTAGAAATTTGACCCATGTTTCCCTGAAATTATCGTAACAAAATCTTGCTATTTCCTGCCACCACTTAGAATTTTTCTAGTAGTTTTCTGATTTTCAACTTGCAATATAGATATAGAAGAAAACAGTCTTGTTTTTGTGTGTGAAGAAAAAAAAATATCCAATTATGCCCTGTACTATAAATTGACCCACAACTCGGCCTCACCTGCTCTGAATTCTACTGGGTGTTGAGTCGGATACACAATTACATGCCATCTCCAAATATCCCCGTTATCCTTATTTAGGATATACAGCATATATATATATCATGTAGATCCACAATAGAAACATGGACAAGGTTGATTTTAATATATGAATAGCAATGTGTATTTTAAAAAAAGTGTTTATTTGACCTTAACTTTAACAAATTAAGAGTAAATACGTCTGCTCTCTCTCTAAATAGGAAGAGCATGAATATTGGGCGACACATAATCATGTCTTTACGTTACTCATACTGGTCTCATTTCCGTGTGGTGGTGACCTTTTAAACAAATCTAACCAGAGTATCATTAACATACAATAAAATAACTAATTGTATATGTGTTGGCCAATATTCCCATTCTTCGTTCTTTTATATCCCTATTACTACTGTATTTCATTCTTGACGTCGACATGTCAGAAGAAGAAATTCCTGACAATGGCAGCCACTCCGTAGAACAAGTTTGTTATACCGGAGGAAGTACCAGGGAGGAGCCCCGAATTATATACTGAATACTAACTGATGTTTACAAAAGGCTGGAGCTGGAAAATTAATCTGTTTTATGCATATCTATATTTTGTTGACTTATAACCATTTTAAACATTTGCATCGCCAAGTTTATAAATTGAAACTGCCAAGTCTATTAGCCTGAAATCTGCAAATTGCAATAAAGTTACTCTAAACCACATACGTGGTGTGAAATATGTCCTTGTAGAGCAATGTTTGTGTGACGGAGTAACATACTTATGTAATGAGATGCAATCATTTTAAAGCCTGCATTAGATTTCCCTATTTCACTACACTTTCCTACAAGATTTAGACAATCTTTTTTTGTAATCATAGATAAAGCAAAGATGCATGGTATATATACTAATAGGTATGGATTATCTCTTGAATTGGGTGTAAGTAATCTTGGGTACGACTTATCTCGAGAGTTGGTTACGAGTTACCTTGGGTACGAGATGACCCTAACCCCGTAATCTGCACTCCCTCGAGAGACATAGAGTGAAGGGCAATATGATCGAGGTGTATAAATGGAAGTCAGAGTAAACCAAAGGTGAGATAACAAAGGTACTCAAAAGTATCCAACCAGGAGCGAGCTTGTAACAATAGTTTTAACTCGGACAAATATAGAGTTAGGAGTGAGATGGGCAAACATTGGTTTGGAAATAGAGTAGTGGATGAGTGGAACAAGTTACCAAACCTCATCATTAACTCGAATACGCTGGATAGCTTCAAACATAGGTTGGATGGATATATGAGCGATAGGGGTTGGGTGTAAATGGGACTGCCCAGTATGAGCCAATAGGCCTGCTGCAGTTTCCTCCATTCTTATGATCTTATTTCCAGTGAAGCCATCATTAAAACACTACTGCTCCAATCCTTGTGATATTCACCCTACAGTACGGCGTTGTGCTGCACTTTGGGCTAAATAATAACAAATAAACATAAATCAGGATAAAGTTAAGACAGTTACAGCCATTATTTTCAAATTTAAGACTAACCGACGGCGTCACGCTTCTCCCAAGACTCTCATGCCGGCTAACATTCTACTGCTTTTAACCCCTAATCACACACAACAAAGCTTTGGCTCCATTCTTCGATTATAATACAAAACAAAAGTTATCATCTTACCCCAAAAATACGACTTTTCCATCCCTCCTCGCATCGTCTGGCCCACGTTGTTAGTGAAGGAGTGTGGTGGCTGGACAACACGTGCAGCCACTCGGTGAAGACTATCAACAACGCGCCATACGCATTCGTTTAAAATTATTGTTGTACTAAAATTCACAAGGAGATATTTTTAACGAAACCGCCTAGAAAATCTAAATTAATGTAAACACATTTGATTTAATCAAAATATATATCTAAATGTAAGATATAATAGCTGTGGCCTATTTTGTTACAGGAAATAATATTAGTTTATTATTCATATTAGAGGTAGACAATGTAAAATCTTTTTGCTTAGTTATATAAAAAAAAATAGTCAATTGAGTATTCAAACTAAAGGAACTAAGAAAATTTTATAGAACGCATGTTAAATAGCCAGTCTTGACACACATTAAAATACTGTATGTTAAACCGTATGTTGTATATAATTGTCGAACACCTGGCATGATTTAAAACGCTATTATAGTATACGCATGTATGTATGTCAAATTATATAACAAAATTATATATATATTATTTGAGTATGTTGAACGTATATAGGATTTTTTTATTAAATTAGGACGGTTTGCATACTAATAAAATATCGGAGAAAAATTTAATTAAAATTGGTCTTTATTAACAAAAAAATATGTTTATTATAAGGTAAACCACTGAAGCAAAGCTGACACAAAAATTTATGAAAATATCATTGAATTTATAAAATTCTGAATTCCTTATTTGAAAAATTAGCCGTTGGTAAAACGTGGTAAGGAAGTGGTGCCAGCCTTGTGGGTCCCGGGAACTGGGCCTTTGGCAAGGGCAACTGACTGGTCCATGCGGTAACAGTATTAACAGATGGATGGATGATACTCAGTTAAAAACCATCACACAATTTCATACACACAACAGACTAAAGTAATACAATTGGGCTAAAGGCTGGCTGAAGGCTCCTATAATTCATATTGGATCAGCAACTTCAAATAAAAGACCCCATTCGTAACGGTGAACAGAAATAATGTCACAGGAAAGAAGTCACAGAAAATGTCAATTTGGGATAGGAAAAAAGTCATTTTATATAAACACCATTAACAACCAATAAAGTAACAAAATAGGTTAAGTTCGGTTAGGTTAAGTTAGATTAGGTTAGCCTCTGTGAATTGATTCCTACAGATTATCAATATCTCTTGAGTTATACATCATAATTTCGAAAATCTTACCTAACCTTTCCCAACATAACCAGACTCCCGGGTGTTACTTTTACCTTTATCTTCTTCGCCACAGATCTTTAAGCCGCTTGGGCGACTAGTCGATATCTAAGTAAAAATAAGAAATACTTAATTATTTTAAATTACCAAATACTTTTAAAAATGTATAAATGTACACAGAAAATTAATTGTATTATTATTTATGGCGCGAACTTTGTTGTAGTGTAAGGAGTCGTTGCTAGGTAACGAAATAGACGTCTAGTTTCTTATGAGGATACGTACAGTACACTGTTCATTTTATTTACACATTTAAACCATATTAACTTGAAATACGCTACGTAAACTGTATTTTAGTATTATATTTACAATAAGGTGACATTAGACTAGGTCAAATTTGGTTATGATACATTAAAGGGATGGTGTACCTAGCCTTCTATGGTAGCTATAAACTGTCTCTGAGCCGTTGTCTGCAGGACTGACTGTGCATTAAAATGGGGGAAAAGTAAGTGCGGCATTAACGTTATCTGATAAAACAAACGAAATATCTTAATTTATCATACGTATATTCAAATTTATACTTAAGTTAAATTGTTTAAAAATAATATACTGCTATTGTCATCTAACATAGCATTCCAACTACAAGAATTTTACATACTGTATAGGTATGTGTAGGTAAACCTCATCACAGTTATTTATTCTCCTTCTTGCAGGTGAATTTATACTATCAGCAAAGAGTTAGGGTGTAAACTGTATCAGAGAAGCAACAGTTTCCTTATGAGCATTTTGTTCTATAATTGTGTTTAACTATTTAGAGTGTGGTCAATACCTGCTTTAATTTGTTTTGCAGGAAATCCTTGAATAAACCTGACCAGTAATTTGAAGAGAGAATATATAAATTTGTCATAAAAAAAAAATAATAATTTTAATACCTAACTTGGCTCGCGAAAACTAGTTTTAGATTTACCGTACTGTATCTTATACACTGACAGCAAAAACTTAAGTAAAAATACTTTAAATTTAGCGAAAAATAAAAATTAGATACTTTGGTCATATAATTAGGGATGTGGAGATATCAACAGAAATATTAATGGGCAAAGTTGAGGGTAGGAGGGTCGGGGGGAGGCAGAGACTGGGACGAAGGAATGCAATTAAAACTGAGTCCCCAGAGAGATGCAAAACCTTGAATGATTGGTAAAAACAGCCTGGGAACGATTAGAGTGGAGGACTGTGGTTGTCAAACCTCTGATAGATTGATCACTGAATGCTCAAAATATTTACCCTGCCATTTTGCTAGATAATAATAGCATCTTTATCTTTCTTTGCCATCTCTTTCACTGGTGCAGGTACAGATAAATTCTGGAGCCAGTACATACCCAGTACAGTACAGTACTACTTACCAAAAGTGTGTAAGAGACGTGACTGATTGCCCGAGCGGTTAACGAGCTGATCAGTAGTGAAGAGAATACAGTAAAAGTAAAAAGTAAGAGTACAGGTACAGGGTATAGGCAAACTTGCTCTGGAAAATTCAAGTAAACCAACTGTGAACTTTGACTGATTTCAACGGAAATAGATCATAGAGGAATGCCAAAATTTTATTTTATCTTGTTAAGATGAGACATACTGTACTGTACTTCAATAATGGTATGCTTTAATCCATTTAAGCATGTGTAGGCAGTGGCTTACTGGTTGTGTGGCCAAAGGTAAGTTTTTATTATACATGTACTGTCCTGTAAATGTTTTCCATAAAGATTCCTCCATTAGATTTTGTCTTTTCCACAAAGTAATATTTCATAAATTGTCAGAAAAAACAGAAATGGATAACCAATCCTAAAATAAGATTTACCGAGTACCGTACAGGTAATTTAATTAAAATAGATTAGGGTAGGGTAAGTATTTTGAGTTAAAATGTAACTGAATCCAGCCAACCAAATATACAGTGCTATAACAATCTTATTAATAATTTATTTGTTTTTTTTTAGACTGCAGTACTGTACAGTAGTTGTAATTTATCACCAGTCACATTTATCAAACTGGAGCTGCAAAAGAATACCTAAGGAATAATTTCCCATTTATATTTCAGTGAGCGATGGCTTACAGCACATCACGACCCACTGGCATCCCTGTACACCTTCAGTTCATGTATGGCTTTGGCTGACCTTCATGGGGATGGAGAATCAAAACTCATTATTGCTGACCTGGGCACTGGAGCATATAACATGAAGCTAAAGGTAATATTTCATTGTTGTAGATTACAGACCAGTTGGTTTAATTTGCCCTTAGATATTTAGTTACGATTATTATTATTACCTTGTTTTGTTTTTTGGTTGCAAGGAGAGGTTCACAGGACTAGTAACACAGTGATTCTACTAAATCTGTACATTTTAGTATCTGGAGCATTTGCTTTACACTGTCCAGAAGACAGTGTTGCTGTCCAACAAACTTGATGTAAAGGATCTTAGCTATAATTTTAACCTAATAAAAAATATTGATAAACATATTGTACAACAGGCACTGTCTTCTAGGTCTACCGAGGCACCAGCCTGATGTCAGAAAACACACTGATTGACCTCCCAACTGGGGTTATAACCTTCCACATGGACACTACAGAACCTCGAGTGCCAGGTGAGTGCAGTACAGTTGGCATGACTTGGTGGTTTTCTCAGAAAACTATTCAGGGAAAGCCTATTACTTATGTTTCTTTTCTGAGCTGATATTACACTTCAGATTAAGTGAATGAAAATTGTGATAATATTCGTGGAAAACTGTACCTGTCATAGAGTGATATGACTCATTGCTTTCTACCATAAACAGTGACTTTTGTTTTGAAGTACTGTATCATTCTTAACTGAATAAGTCCTAACCACTAATATTAAAGGAAGTACGTACAGGTACTGTACTTAGGTTTCCAACTCATGGACTTTGTTATAATATTCCGGTAGCTTTGTGAATGATTTGTGGCCATAATAAAATTTAAATTACCCTACCATGTACTGTACTGTAATTGTATACTGCATTGATGTTATTTTTTCTGACTTAGCTGTTGCTGTTGCATCTGGAAGTTATATCTACATCTATAAAAATCTTCGCCCATATTTCAAGTTTACATTGCCCACTCTGGAAGTTAATTCAACTGAATTTGATGCTTGGAGTCAGGTAAATATTGTAGCTATGCATTTGTAATGAAGTTAATTTAGAACTGTAATGTATTTTAATTTGTGACGGATTATTCTTCAGTCTTAGGATACTTGCTGTCTTTACTACATGAGGAGGTGGGCCTGAGTTCAAGTGAATACCTAATACTGTATGGTATAAACATATACCTGGTTGATTTTTATCATTCTGAAGCTATAGAATAGACTCACTGTGATCCTCTACCGACCTGGGACATAAAGAGTGCCAGTTTTATGATTGTTAAACAGGTCGATGAAAGTATACAGGTACTGCACTTGTTAAATTGAAAACCCCTTGAGTTCTCTGTATGACTTGCATTTTCTGTAATTTTTGTTTAACATCGGTTAGCATATGATATTAGGCAATAAAGTACTGTACTGTACTCTATGATAGTTGAAAAGTTTTTTATCATTGCATAGCTAGTTTTTAGAAAGCATTAATATTAACGATTATTTTCAGGCTCGAGATGAGCTCCTAGATGTGGGCATGCTATATGAAATCCTTGACTCACTGAGACAAGAAGTGGGAGAGTGTGGCCTCACAACACGATCTCAGCGGTTCCTAATGTGTCCTGACCATAACAGTCAAGCAAGTTTCCTCAACCAGCACAAAGGATTTATTCTCAAACGTCAAGTAAGGGAGAAATTCTTCCTTTTGTCTTAATTTATGAAGTAATTGTGATAAGATATTCTTGAGGTACCATTTCACCCTGTTGACATATGGCTCAGTTCCTAATTAGGTAATGGCCCAGTTTCCAGAAAATTGATGTTGATTGTAAAACGAACAACATTGACTGTAAAAGATTAAGGGAGATGACCACAAATGTAATTAGTTTGCTTAAAAGTGTCTTTAGGTAGATGTATTACAGGAAGCCCAATGTTTGCAGCCAGAGTACAAATGCTGCAGGATGTTGCTGCATTGTACAGTATGCATCCATACTTGATTTCCAGAACATCGATCTGCAAACTAAGGATTTTGTATGAGTGGCAAAATGTTCACAACTGGTCTTATCATGAAATGGTTTTGATTGACTGATGGCAAGATAGGCTCTTCTTGAATAGGATAACATTATTTGGTGAGTGTGGAGCACAGTACTGACTCGGCAACAGTGTGTAAGTAGCTATGGGTGCATGCAGTGGTAGTTGTAAGGGCAAAGTGCCTTGGCTAGAAGTAGGGGATTGAAGGGATAATAGACATGGTGGTGGCATAACTCTAACTAGTGTATTGGAGAGAAAACAGGATATACAAGGGACTGCATATATGAGTAGAGTCTGCATGCTTGTACAGTATACAACAATGAGAAACAATGATCTCAAAACTAATGATAAGATAAACATACGTAGTAACATTGCTTGATGAGAAACAGTTTGCTCATGTTTTACAATTAAGTATCATTATAAAATTATGTGTTACTATATTTGTATCAAATACAAATTTTCCTTCTCATCACACACACTATATATATATATATATATATATATATATATATATATATATATATATATATATATATATATATATATATATATATATATATATATATATATATATATATATATATATATATATACTTGTTTATGTGTATAAAAAATCAAATGGTACTGGACTTTATTTTTAGTGATGTATTTCTTGCAGACAGTAGTGACATGTTTTGCTACTCTCAAGAAGAGTCATGCTGAGGATGATGCCATATCCTGTCTGGTTTTGGGTACAGAGAGTGCAAATATATTTATCTTGGACCCAGAAGCTTTTACAATTCTGAACAGTGTAAGTATGATCAAGACTTGAGATGAGAATGATTTATTTTTTTTTGTTCTTGTGTGTCTGTTAAATAAATACAGGGTAACTTATTTTGGTGCTTGAACTATTCCATTTTAGGGTTGAGCATAACATAGTGGCTTTCACATTGGCCTCTTATACAGGGAGAACAGGGCTCAACCACACCTTAGACTGTATAGTTATTACTGTATATATCTTCAGTGTCTACCAACACTGTGTTGACAATATTCACCTAAATCATTAAAAAAGAAGGACAAATATTGTTCATACTGTTTTTTGCTGGGCAGTGGAAACTTATAACATTGGTGTTGCTAACTTGATGTGCACATATACTGAGGTACTCTTTCAGGTCTACATTGCTGTAGTGAATGATCTTTTATGTGTATGCACATCCCATCCTATTTTAAATTTCCAAAATCTGTTCATGTTAAGTTTTGTAGACTGTTGCAGATGCTCCCAAAATTAAATCTATACTAAATACCCTAAAACTTCTTTTAATATTGTAGATGAGCTTGTCGAGTGTACCAGTGTTCCTGTCAGTATCTGGCTTATACGATGTCGAGTATCGCATTATCGTGGCCTGTCGCAATGGTCAGATTTACACGTTGAAGCGCGGAACAAAAATTGGTCGCCCTACCGTAGAGCTGACGTCTCAACCGGTGGGTTTACTAAGACGAGATAAGAGCATCATTGTTGCCACCATGGATCAAAACCTTCATTCCTTTAACAACAAGGTGAGCCTCATTATCTAGAAATTGAGATTCAGGTTCAGAAAATCTTGTCAGAAATAGCAGCATAGTACTCTACTCTACTGTACAAGTACAGTACAGATTTAGGTGTGGTATAACCATATTTCATTATCAGGTAGAAGAGATGAAATGTGAAATGTCTGAATTGTATTTGTATTTAATTTTAATGTAGTGCTGTACATAATATAAAAACTGGGTGATATGAAAAGATTACAGTATTTTAACATTATCCATAATTTTTACGCAACTGATAATTTCTTATTTGAAAGAAGAAGGATGGGGGATGAAAATGAATGGTACTGTACAGCCAAAAACAACTAATCCAAGATACAGTACAGTACTGTACAGATTATTTTTAATATGTGATAAAATATCTGTACATACACTGAATTGTTTAGAATGTGGCCAACTAAAGGCTAGAATTAATGAGTTGGTGGTAGACTGCTTTTGTCTCCTTAGAGTCCTAGACCAAAGGTAATTGAGACTGAACATGATGCATTACCATGAGTGAACTCCTCTTAACACAAGTGGCTCTTTTCTTTGACTACACAAGTGTTTCTCTTGTAATTGATGATCCTTTACATAGGGTAACCTAAAAAATCGATACTATTACCAAGTACAGTACAGTAATTATTTTCTTTATGCATCTCTCACTTTTCCCTGCCTCTTCCATTCTCTCTTTTCCTTCATCTTCATTTCTTCATTTATTTATCCTGTCAGAAGCACTTATTGTTGTTTTCCTTTTACAGTACTGGACAGTATTTATTTGCTCATTATTCTTCTTTTAATATACTGTACCTGTACAGTATTGGGCATGAAGGGTAACAAGTACTGTACATATTCAAGTGTCAAATAACTAACATCATAACTGATTTCATTTGCCATTCAAGGGAAAACGGTTGTGGTCACTTAAGCTCCCTGCTGCCATAATATGTATGGAAACTCTCGAGATCCGCACCCTGGGCCTCACACTGACAGCTCTTGGAATGGCCGACCACCGTGTTATGATTTATCGTGATAAACACTTAGTGGACACCATATACACTGAGGACCAGATATCAGCCATGAAGTTTGGTCGTTTTGGGCGAGAAGATAATACTTTGGTCCTGGTCATGAAAGGTGAGGAGACTGCTTCTTGAATATGATATAGAAAGTTAACCCCATCAGTACGGGGGCACCACGTTTGATATTTTATTCGGCTAATGCCAGAAGCAACCCCGTACACAAGAAGTTAGGATATTAATTCAGAATATTTTGAGTGGATAAGAGTTTGTGAAATTTGTAAGAGTCATTGAATTGTGTCAAAGTACTGTACTGTACAGCATGCCCTTAAAATTCACGGTGGTTTGGGTCTCAAAATGGCCGCGAATAGCCAAATCTGCGAATATAATTTGCTGTCCGGGGGGGGGGGGGGTTACATTTTTACTCATCTGCAAAGAAATGTATATTCCTTTTTATGTGTTTGCCCTTAAGACAAATATTTTTTTTACCTGTATTGTACAGTACAGTGTATATGTGTGTAGACACACAAACACGTACAAATAAATAATAATGGGAAAATCCTCTCAAAAATAGTAAAAAACAAGACAACAAAATGTATCGAAACGTAGAAAAAGTGTGTGAGTCTACCCTCAAGTCAACTCCGTGCTTTGTTATTAAAGTCGAGTTGGTTGGGTTGCCATACGGCAATTTTTTCCTCATAAAAAATTGCTGTCTCTAGAACGAATGGCTCCCTGTCCTGGCCGTGAAAATGCCGGCAACTTTAAAACTACCCGCAGACATTCTTGAATACATCCTGGGTGTCATCTGCGAATAAGCGGGGACCGCGAATTAAAAATCCGTGAATTGTCAGGGCCTGCTGTACCTGTTATCCAAATTCTTAATTTACACATCCAATCTTTTCTATCCTATCCTAAACCCATGGTATAATGTACTATTAAAGACCTTCCTATTTTATTCTCTCCTGTCCTGCACTCTTCACCAAATTATTGTATCAATTGATGCAAAAAATTTTAGTGACATAATAGTCATTAATTTTCATATTTATTTTATGATAAAACAGTATAATATCTGCTTCTACGTTCTAGGTGGGGGTCTTGTTGTAAAGATTTTGAAGCGAACTGCACGCTTTGAAATTGAAGAAACTCAGGGACCTGGCCATGCACATGCTGTCAAACTCAACATACCCAAGAAAACAAAACTGTTTGTTGATCAAACGATGCGTGAGAGAGAAAACTGTGTGTGTAAGTTACATTGATATAATTCTCTGTTGTTTGTGATTCACTGATTTTTTTTATCTTCTTGATTGTACTGTACTGCAAAAATTTAATTACCAGTAAGTCCTTTAAACTTTTGTCTATCCTGTTTACATCAAGTTGGCTATTTTTTGTACAGACTGTACTGTATTGAAAAGTGGATTCTTGTGAAAATATAATAACACTGAGAGTTACAGGTAATTTGTGATATAAATACAGTAGTGGTTATTTTACATAGCCTCAGGTGAAGAACAAGATAGCAACTCTTTCATCAAATGATATGCTGCACTGTGTATAATTTAGTGTTGATTTTTTTATGAATGTTGTGAACCTTAGCAAACATAATTGATGTCCAATCATCATACCTACTGTATACTGTATGATCAGAAATATAGAAATATAATTTGCGAAAGTTCAACTTCAGCCATTCTGGTTTGTGTCTGTTTCTTGCGGAACATAAACTCCATATTTAATGCACTGTATAAGTAGATATACCCAAAAATATCTTACATTATTGTTTATACAGGTACAGTAGTTTTATAATGTTTTAAACATTGTGGGATGGTTTTATATCTGCATATCACAATTCTTCAATATAATCTCCTGTCAACATGCTCTTTCATTTTGTCCTTTAATAGTTTTATCTTGTATCCATTCAGTGATGCACCGAGTGTTCCAACATGACTTGTACCGTCTACGACTTAACACAGCTCGTGCTTATGTCCAGGCTCTGGAGACCAGTAGCAATCCTGTCTCTCTCTCCGAGACAGAACCTCTAAAATTATCTGCACAGGTGAGTTAGGATCTTCTCTCCCCACCCCAGCCTCCTACTGCTATTGTTTCTTATGCTATCTGTCGTATGTAACAGTTTTGTCTCGTCTATGTTACCTGTGATATTTTATAATTCAAGTGTTTTGTCTCTTCATCTTTTGTTGTCTTGAGAAAGTTTTTGTTGCTGTCATAGTTAATATTTGTCTCGTACTTTTTCATTAAATCTGCTAATTTTCCTTGCTTCTGTTTTTTCTACTGTCATAATATCTTTTGACCTATATATTTTCTTGGTCAACATTTGTCTCATCTACTGTCTTGTGTAAGTTTTAGCTCCTCTGCTATATTTAACACCATCTGTTTTCTTTATTCTCTCTGTCAGGTTTTGTTCACTGGATAGTTTTCCAACTTACTCTGCTATTGCTTGTGCAAATTCCCTTTTCTTCTCCTATCTTATGTAGCTCTCTCTTTTATTTTGCTGTCTCACTCATATACAGTACTGTACTGTACGGTATTACTGTAATGGTATTCATGTTGTATAAAGATTTGTACCACTTTCCTCTCTTTGGTTTCTTCATTTTCTCTCTTCTTTGTTGTATGTCTTACCTCTCCTTTGTTAATTTTTACAACTTTCCCTTCTTTTCCTTTAGTCATACTCGGCTCATTTGTCAATACTGTTTTATGTACTTCCTTGTATCTTCATATATTTTTCTGATGGAGTTTATTTATGTATGGTGCTCTTAGTCAGGCAGTACTCTTGTTTCTAGATTGTATTATGTACTCCTCCTTTTCATTATTTGTGTATGACATTTCACTTTTCATCTTTAACATTTGCCCTTTCTTCTCTGTTGTATCATATATCCTCCTTCCGTCACTGACATGAATTTTTTTGTCTTCTTGATTGATTTCTTTGTCTTCCCTTTCCTCTGTTGCAAAATCTCTTCCTACTTTGCTGTTTGACATGTGTGAGATTTCCTTTCTTGAAAAATTTATCCTCACTACAAAATGATCTTAAGCATTACTTTATTTTACTTTAGACTTTTTGCCACTGTTTTGCTTGCTAGCCTGTCGAAAGGTTGGTAATATCTCTGTTATGCATTGTTGGCATGTACTGGGCATGTAAAGGCTTTTGAATGTACCTGAACATGTGTCAGCGGTGGTTAAGTTTTGACTTACATAAGCTCACACTCAGTGCCATCACAATATTCTCCGGCAGGTTATTCCAAGAGTTCACAACTCTGTCCAAGGTACTTGTGACCTTGAACACTGAGGCTTTTCTTGAAGAGTTGTCATAGTGCATACCCCAAATTTTGTTAATGCCTTTGATTAATCTGTGAAACTTAAATGCAACCTCAACATGGAGTCCTGCTTTGTTTTCTGGGAAGTGGCATCTCCAGTAATTATTTGCTGGTTTAAAAAGAGACATAAATATGAGGTGGGGAAGGATACACATAATTATTAAGTTGTAGAGATTTTAGTCACTGTATTTAAGGAGCTTGTAGCTAAAAAAAGAAAATAAATTCTGAGTGCTATATTAAGTCAAATGGGTGAATGGAATATAACGATGCTGAAATTAGTGTTTTTACTTCCAGGTTTTGGGACTGGGACCAACATTTAAGCTTAGAGTCGAGTTACAGAATACCTCCTCAGCATCACCATCCTTACAGCTGGCGGTTATATTTCATTGTGATGACCATATCTACAATGTCAATAAATCATATATTCAGGTAATAACCTTTCTTTTAATGATTACTTTGTTTATTAAGCTCACATCCACAGGCAGTTTATCTAAATGCAGTAAACCCTCACTATATAATTATCGTGAGTACCACAGTACGTAAGCTGGTTTGCCGCTAACTAATTAAGGAATGCAATTTTGCATTGTGGCAGGATTCTTAAATTATCATGGGCTGTGACAGGCTTGTAAGACCCCAAAAATACTTGCTGTATCATGGATTTTTGTTAAGGCTACCTGTAGTCCGTACATATTTTGGTCATGATCTCGGCTCCCTCATGTGTATCCAGTAAGTGAATATCATATACTGCAAACTGAAACAGTGCTCATCATCTTTACTGCCAGTACATAATAACTGACAGTAGCTGGGACTAATCAAAAGATCAGGAATAACTTCCCAATTCAACCATAGCACTTAAAACAAGGTTATCAAGAGCAACAGTCCCTGCTTTTGGTTGGAGGCATTACAAGTCTGATATCATGCAAGAGTGTGTACACTTTGCCTATCAGCTTTGTCACCCATTCTAGAATTCCCAAGCATCTCTCCAATTATTTTTCAGCTGTAATGAGCAAAAATTAAATATCTCCTTGCTACATCTCTTTAAGGGCTATATTTGTAGCAGGGAAATACTGAACTGTAGTACTAATAATTTGATTGCAACAGTTTACCTTGTTTTCAGTTATGTTGATACAAATTTTCAAAACAGCATTAAATCATTTAAAAGTTGCATATATTTTATTGTACTGTATTATAGATATCATTTAGCACTTTAATATATGAACTATAAATAAAAATATCTAATGAAGGCATGATATCTATATTGCTATTATCTTTTCAGATTCCAATGCTTATACCAGGCATTATCCATGTGGCAGAAACACTTATTACATGCATATCAGAGCTTGGGATATCAGATACTGTACGTGTGTTTGTGGTGAAAGGAAAAGCCTCCCGACCTTTGCTCACTGCTGTCATAAACATGCCAGTTGCAGAAGTTTTCATGGGTTCCTAAGTACTGTACTAAACTATTTAGGATATTATCTGCAAATGTGAACAAAAATATCTAGTAAGCAGAGACCGAATAAGTTAACTATTTTAAGATATACTGTACAGGCAGTCCCCAATTTATGAAGGTTCAGTTTACAAAAATTCAGAATTATGAAGAAAAAAATTTGTCCCATGATTTGATTTACGAACAAAACACAAGGAGTTAAAACAAATTGTTTTTCATGCATTTTTTTTTTATTCCTGAGCACGTTTGAAAATATGCTGAAAATAATGCATATTTTTATTACCAGTTTGCTTACTTATTTCGTTATTCTCTAACACTTACAACGTTAATAAGTCTGCAAATAAGCTTTCAATGTGTCATTATTTTTCTATAGTCACCATATAACTTACCCTCAAAACTCACTCGAGACACACAGACTCGTCTCCACCAGCACAGTCACTCAGCTTGATTGTACAGGTATCCCCCTATTTATGATTGGGTTAGGTCACGAAAAACCCATTGCAGGTTCAATTATTGGAAATTGGGATCATTATAACATGGGGTTTAATGGTATACAGGACGTTCCCAGCCACTCGGCCACCCACATGTATCAACGAAAAAAAAAATCTGCAACACAGTTAAACAACACTCACGACATCATTGCAAACAACCCTGGTCATCATTACATGTCCCCTTCGAGGCTAAGGGAACTCTTGAAGGTGGAGTGGAGACATCACTGTGATTCTCACACAGCCTCTGGGGAATCTCATGCTGCTTCACAATGTCAAGCTTCACTTCAGAAACATGGTTTTCCTGGGTGCCTTGGCCTTCTCAGACATTTTCAAAGCTATTCAGCTTACTTCACAGTCACAAAAACAGAGCGAAAGCACTTGTCACAGAAACAGAGTGAAGGTTGATAACATTATTGTGGCTGACACTGCTCACATCATGTTCACAACAGCAGAGTCAAAGCATCACGAACACAGCCATGTGCAATCACCATGGAACAAAGCTTGGTATCATAGTGCACCAGGTGGCTGCATGGCGGCACTTGGGTAGACCGCGGCTGACAAGTGAACCAAGAGATGCGTCCGCATTGGCCGGACAATGACCATCGATCATGTGAATTGTTTACATCATAAATGGGGAAGGTCTTAATACATTACCATCGTTAAAGAGGAATATTGTAGATCAGGGGATACCTGTACAATTTCTTCTCATTTATTCTTACATATTAAATACTCTACAAAAAATTATTCTCTTCTTAAATTTCATATTCTAATTGTGTCATATGTACAATAAAATCATAGTTAGAAGAGAAAGTGTGGAATTTGGAAATGAACTAAAGTTTGGAGATGTGAATATTGCTGGCAACGCATGATTGAGTGTGAGTGTAGTGTCAGATGACTGGCAGCAACTTTTGCGCCATGTAATCAAAGCAGTGGGTATTTAGGACGATTCAATAACTCTTTAGGGGTCAAGCATGGTTTTTTATTTAGAGAGAGAACATAAAGTATCTCTAATTATAGAATGGGAATCAATGTATTACAACAGTAACATAGATGTTAGCTTAAGAGTTTCAAACTGTTAACTTTGTTTTAAATCTCACACAGTTTATCTTAAGTACAGGTATACAAGAATCCCTCGCTATACAAATGGGTTTGGTTCCTGAAAACCCATTCGTTAAATGAATTTTCATATATTGAATACAAAATAAGGGAAAAATTGGGTTTAGTTCCCCAATGACAAGAAAACCCCAATATCAAACCCCAAAACAGAAAATCAGTTCACAACAACAAAAATCCTACCTAACTAATGATAAATATTATACAACTACTGTAATTTACTACCTAACACATTAAAGATATTAATAAAATACTATACAGTATAACTTTAGTACATTACCTTATGGGAGGGTTGTCAGGGCTCACCACAAGGGGATGAGGTGTGGGTTGAGTAAGGGCTTTGTTCAACATGATGAGGAGGGCTGTCCACCTCATCACTGCCATTACAAAGCAATAGCGAAAGATTGTCTTGAATACACATAGATAAAGAGAGATACATCACACACATAACGAATGGTTGAAGAAAAGACACCGGCTTGTGGGAGATGCGAGAGGGAGGGAGGTTTGTTATGATCAGTGAGCGAGAATACGTCTTTGCGCATCTCTCCCATGATGGCCTCCCCAGCTGACTCCTGGGATGCACGTTTTAAAATTTTGCTGGGACCCAAAGTCATATGAACAGGGGAAGCTTTGTTAACACAAAAAGAGTTGTTAATTTAGTTAATTCATACAAGCAAATTTTTGTACAGTATCTCGAATGTTCGTATGGCAAGATATCCCTGTATAAGATTATTACAACAGTACAGCATTGTATTGCATGTATTTCATTTATATATATTTTTGTGTACAGTACACCAAAACTTTTCATTAAAAATTTTTTTTGTGTTATTTTAATACTCTTGGGTTAAGGTAGGCACTTTCCCGTAAGACGCTCGGGGTTTGCCCCGTTACTCACCTCGCCGCACTTGATTGCACCACACGAGAGATAATTATACATAACGAGTTATAGCAAGCTTGCTATTTGAGATAAAAAAAGTGGGATTTGTTGCATGTGCATTGTAAATAAATTATCTACAATCAGTTTTATATAAGTAATCACGATAAAATAATTATTTCTATACATAAGTGCAAGTAGAAGGCATCAGGAGGCACCGCACTATCACCACATGGTGCAATCTCCTTGCATTTTGAAGTTTTCCTACCCCTCCACCCTCACCAGCAACATGAGGCATGGTTCAAAACTCTCTCAACACTGTTATGAATAAATGAAATTAGCACAAGCCACGAGAAAATGAGTGGGAAATGTAAGTCAAGGTTATGTCATGTGTTATTGAAACACAAAGGGAGACTGGTGTAGTAACCTAACCTTGGAGGGCAGTCTACACATGCAAATTTGCTTATGAAAACCCAAAAGTGATAATTTATATCTTATACAATTTTGCATATGAAAACCCCAAGAGTGATGAGACTTAAGGGATTTTTTTTAGGAACATAGCTTAGCTTTTATTATGAGAGTCAATGGGAAAATGTGGTCCAATTTATGAAAAATCAATTTGCAAAAGATTTTCCAGGAATGGAACCCATTCATAAATTGGGGAATGTCTGTATATATGCAGTACAGTATACATATATCCCCACAAATGTTCAATAAAAGGCATTTGGCAAGTATTCCACATTTGCTCAGAGCATAATAAACTACCTGTACAGTCACATTTATACATAGTACTGTACTGTACACTGTGCATGTTGCTGAATATATTGCTGTGAAGAACAAGTCAAGAGATGTGCAGGAAATTCTAGCTCTTGATGAATTACTACAAGGATAAAAAGTGTAGCATTTCATTAAAGAAAAGGTACAGTATAATGTGCTGTACACTACTACAGTGAAAGAAATTTTACAGATACTACAGGAAATAAATCTGTTACGTTAGATGTTAGAGATTGTTGGTGATATAGGATTTTTTTTTTATATGGAAACTAAGATCTGTATCAACACAAACATTGCACAAAACTTTAAAATATTTGTAAGGGCATTCAATAAAAATGTAATGTTTCACATGTTTAAAAAAAAAGGAATTGGAACGTAAAATTGGAATAATATAACAGTAGATGCAAAGATTAATTTGGAGAACAGATAGTAATTATGTTTTAAAATTGATAAGAGTATATTAAAGAAGTAACTAAATTTATTTGCTATATTTTCTATAAGGTTTGTGGCATACCAGTATCTTATATTTTGCATCAGGTTGTGCCACAAGTATACTACACGGGGTGATTTTCACTGTAAAATGTGTAAATAAATTAAATGTGTTTGATACAGGAGTATGCAAGATAACTCAAATTTAGTTCAGGAGTTAAATCTCTGAGAAATTTCACATTCTTGACTTAAATTTTTTTGGATTTGCTTTGAAAATTTGCCATATGTGGACTATTTCTGGGTCTCTAATTAAAGAAAATTGGTTGATAGCTAAGTTGAGTATGATTAGTACATTCAAATGAATATACAGGTTCCACATTAATTGGATATTTATTTGAAGCAAATACAGGTATGACCAAATTGAATGTTAGCCAAACTCAGATATACAGGTATTTAATTATATATGAAATGGCTTAATTATGACTTGAGGACCTTACAATATGAATTTTGTTATGGTTCTGCAAAAGAGACATTCAACAGAATTGCCAGTTACTGAAGTGATTGTGTTGCTCAGTAACCATTACAAAAGCTTTCTAGGTGATGGAGTAAGAGGGAGATTGATGCCAGCTTTAGCTGCAACACCCTTTTGCTACAATATCTGCATGACAAGAGCAGTTGAATTTTACTTTATTATTTGCTTGTAAAATGGAGATATAAGATAAAAGGTTGGGAATCTTACCAATTCAATTTGATGTGTGAAGGTTGTGTGAAATTGGGGAAATGGAAAGGATAATTATCAAAAAGAAAAGTGACCAAGACTTTGTCAAAATGTACACCAGTAGAAGTTGATCAAAATATTTTTCAGTAAATCAGTAAGGATTTGTATTCATAGAGCTGTTGATGCAGTTGAAAAAAGTATCTTTTCATAAAGCATCAGTATGTGTAAGGAGGGAACAGAGATAAGTGGGAGGGGCATTGGAAGGACATATGTGTGAGAAGACCAAAAATACAGTTCAAGTATTAAGTTACACAAAGATTGTATCATCCAGAAACCCCAAAGATTGTGACCACAACAGAATTACCAGAGTTTACAAGTTTCAATTGTACAAGATTTGCAGACCTAGAAAAGGCAACACAACTTTTCAGGATATTGCATATTGTAAGTGTATGAAAGTTTACCAAAACAGGTGGATGTATCTCCAAATGTTTTGACTTTTAAGAGATGACTTGACAAGCACTGGACAGATCAAGATGTCATGTACAGTTGTAGAACCCTGAACATACATGCTGGCATCATTAGCCTATCAGATTCAGTACTGATTATTTTCTCAAGTACCTGTACTGTACAGTACAGTAGATGAAAACTTGGAAGTGTGGGTTAGAAGCCTTCACCCAGAATACTCATAAGTACTGTACTGTAATTGAAATAGGTTGTAGATGAGAAATAGGACTTCAGGACTGTGGTTTAATGCCCTGTGTTGTGCTGTTTTTAAATTGCTTTTCTGCCAAGAAAATTTTTTTTTATTTAGTTATTAAGGACCCATTTCTTCCTGATTTTCTTAAGCATCCTTGTTTCTCTTGAATCAGCCTTAACATTTTTGGACAGGGTAGGGGACCTTTGTAGAGGAATTGGAATTGGCTGCCATGAAGGCAATGTTCTCCCTGGTTTTAGCATCTGTTTCAGTAGTGTCAGAGCTTCATACATTGAAAAATGAAAAGTTTAATTCTTTCATAAGTCAGCCTCGGAGTCTGAAGTTTATAATGGAAAACCACGTTTGAGGAGAGAGATTCATTTCCAAGCTTGGAAGCAAGATGGTGGGTTTCATCATTCCCTTTATCCAGATATTACGACAGGACTACTGCACTGCTAGACTGCAGTATTTAGGAGCTGGAAAGGTTAGTTATTCTTTTAACTTGGTTCCCGGGTTAAGGGTATGAATTGTGCTATTTTGTTGAGATTACTGCCTCTGTACCACAGGTTGGACCCCGCTAATCCGGGACCCGATAGTCCAGCAGCTTTGATGGTTCGGGACGCATAGAGTGAATACTTAATTAATCTTAAGGGGAAAATTAGGATATGTTCCACAACTACTAAAAGACAACAGTAATGCTATAAAAGTTGTGGAAAAATCATTACAATTACAGGTATCACAACCTGTACTCAAATGTACTCAGGTAATTACTAAAATTTTTGTCTAGTGCAAACTATAGGATGTTTATACTCAAATTAATTGCCCTCTTGCAAGAATTCCAGCAATGAATAATGTATAATCCTGAGTGAACAGTTTGAAATTCTTAAGTTAACATCTATGTTACTACTGTTGTAATACAATGATTCCCAGTCTATAGAATTGGAGATACGGTTTGTTCTCTCAAAAAAAAAAAAAACACATGCTTGACATTTTTATAAGCGAAAAAATTAAAATCCCTCTACAGGGTATTGTACAATCCTGAGTCCCTGACCCCTCCCCCCACTGAAAACTTCTCACCCGGTAATCTCCCCCTCCTGGCTGTCAACACCTCACCATCCCCCTCCCTCTTGCCCTCAGCCAGAAGACAATAAGGATCTTAGAGGGTGAAGGTGGTTTTAGGTTTAAAGTTTTTTCTCTTATAAAATGGCACTGACTTGACTTAGCAGAATATAACTTGCATTGCTGGAATCCTTGTAAGATAGTGATTACTTTAGTATAAACATCTCATAGTTTGCAAAAGAGATTAAAATTGTAGTTCTCTAGCTTAGTACATTTAAGTACAAAGTGAGTACAGTACAGTAATATGTTGTTCAAAATTGTGGCTTTTACACTGGGAAAATTATGTGTAGCTAACCCCAGTGGTCAGGATATTATGGCATTGAATGTTACAGAGTATTTAAAAAAAATTCTTTGTTTAGTTCTATACATATGCTGTATGTGAATTCCCATATAGTGAATGGCATAAAGCGAGGGTCCAGTGGACAGTAAACGTGTGCCATAGCACTAACACTTTGTCATAAAGAGGTCCAGTAAGCCTGGGCTAGATTTATGATAATGTAAGTTGTATTGGTACGAGTAATAGTACATTTTATGCATTATTTTGCCTTTTATTAACCTCGGCTTCGATGGTTCGGAATTTTCGCAGTCCGGAACAGGTCTGGTCCCAAACTTCCCAGATTAGCGAGGTTCAACCTGTAATTGGATTTAAATACAGTAATCTCCCCGTTATCCGGAATAATTAGTGTAGAGATGTTACGGGTTTGAGAGAGAAATTTTCTCATCCCCGAAATTTTTCCTGGCACTGGTGAATGTTTCCATGTCAGACTGTAGTCAGACATACTCAGAGCTGTATTTATTTATGCAAACACTACTGTACTGTATAGCACAGTATACACTATATTATACTGTACTCACAGCAGATGATGTCGTTTTGAGCTTGTGATACGGCAGGCCAAATGTTAATATGATGATACAGGATGGCCTGCCACCATCTCCTGTAGCAGGTGTTGCTGTCACTCTCTTCTCCCTCCATGAAGGAGGAATTGTACATGGATTGTACAGTATGTTGTACATACATCCTCTACAGTAGGTACAGTATACACTGTCCACTCTATGTACAGTACTATACTGTACATATTGGTACTTTCACACTTACTGAATGTACAATACAGTATACAATATATGTAAATGTAATCACTTTTTACATCTTAACAATGCTTTAACATTATTCTTGGCTAATTACATGCCGATACAATACAGTACTGCACAACACAGATTGTATGTGAAAACAGCAGTGAACAAATGAGTAAGCTTGTTCAATGGCAGCAGACAATGAACTAAGAGTGTCATGATGCTAGAATTTTAAGAAATAGGCTGTGAGATACATCAGCCAATCAGCTGTAGCTCACAAGCACTCTGAGCCTACTCACCCATACCTTCCAGCGACGGAAACATGATGCAGTCTCTTGGATATTTTTTTGAATGCATGGAACGGAGACACTTTCTCAGAAATAATTTTCTGGAAATGCGCTGATGCAGTGTCTCGGAAATTTGTTCGAACACCTGGAATGGGGAGATTTTCCCACGATTTTCTCCGGGTGCTCAAAATTTTTTTCTGGGTACTGTAACAGAATTCCAGGGATCAAAGATTTCAGCTGACAGAGAGAATCTGTACTTCACAATTTGCCTGATCCATTGCATATGTTACCAGTGAGGAGTGTTAGTGGTACAGTGGTAGCACGTTTGTCTCTCACTACAGTACTGCATCTCAAATTTGATGCCCAGGTCAGATGTGATAAGGGTGTTATCCAGTGTGACCCTACCAAACAAAGTTTTCTCTGGGTACTATGGTTTCCTCCTGTACAGTATTAACACTGGACAATAAAATTCATAACAGAGAACAAACAGACTATGCAACTAGCTAGTAAGCTAAAAAACTAAAAATTAAAAAATTAAATAAAAATCCTGAAATTCCATTTTAGAATCCACAATAGATTACGTTAAGTGACTCAAGTCCCTACCTGAATCCGAGTTGGAAATGAGTGATTATTTCTGTTGCCCAGTTTTTAGCCAATGGCTATGGGTGGTGGAGTGCATATACAGTATATGAGTGCATTGGGCAAGGACTCTTAGCTTTCGGTTTAACTGACAACCAACATCTCTGGAGAGAGAAACAATAAACCATCCCAATATCCGATTAATTTGTGCTTGCCCTGTCCGATAATGAGAGGGTTTCCTTCTTCTCTTCTTTTTTCTTTAGTGACTACAAAATAATACAGAAACAATAAAAATTTCACTCATCATTCCCAGCTCTCAAAGTGCAAATCTTACATTGTAATGAATACTGTAATGTATATAAAAGTTTAACTTACCTTAAATAGGGAGCTATAGTACCTGTACTTTCTTATGCTGGCTTGGCACAAGTGATGCCCCCCCCCCATCCTGTACCAGGTATACAGAGACAGTGAATTAGTCACTGCTGTAATCCTCAAGAAGTACATTAGGTATTTCTGGGGTTGAGCAGAAGGATGGTGTAGGTGAGGGTGTGGAACAGCAACTAGAAACGGCTACTGAGGATGAAGTGGATGGAAGAACAACATCAAATGAAGATTCACTCTCTAATCCTGTATGAGGAGGAAGGGCCACAGCTTTGAATTACATAGTCCCCAATCTTCTTCTGGAAGGGACACATTTCCTACTGATTTTTAACAACTCTGGTCCTCATCTCCCTCAGGTGGCCATAGAAGGGCTACAGCTCTTCAGACTTGATGAAGATGAGGTAGTTCAGCAAAGTCTAGTGTCCCTGACGTCAGACAGCTTTAGTGCCGGAACTGCAAGCACATTTTTATCCTCCTCTTCCAGTATGGTGTCCAGGGCACAGCTTGATGTATATAAAACATTGGCACCAATCATTTTGTCTATTTCAATTTGGTATAATGGAAACCCTGCATCCACATACAGCCAGTCCTTGATATCTTTCTCTTGAGTCACATTCTCCAGCTCGTGTTGTTTCTACTGGTCAATGAATAATATCCCAGTCATCAACGAGTCCTGGTACTAATGGTTTCCCAACTAACTGTATGCTTCAGGTTGAGCAGGACATTAGAGATGAAATTTCTGAAGGTCTTCACACTCCTGCCATGAGTGTCCTCTACTGTTTCAGGTGCCAGCTCAACAATAAGGCAATCATCAAGCATGAGACATATACAGTATAGTTTTTTTTTTTACAGGCCAAGAAGATGAGATGGTCCATAGGCTGGAAAAATTAGGTCATATTTGAGGGGCAGGAACTTGCACTTTATCCTCCCATCGCTGGAGGATAACAAGTCCAGAGAAGTGGGCTGGGGACAGATGTAGGTGGTCAATAAGTGACAGCGCCTTCACATCCTCCATGCTGATGCCTTTTTGACTGACTTAGTTCCTTTTGAAAGGGCAATATTGTTTTCATTTCTTGTTACAGTACACATATCTCAGTTTTTAGGCTGTATTCCCAAATCTTTCTTTCCAGCACTAATATCGTAGTCCTGAATCCTGTTGATAGCATACTGCATACTGGTACAGTACAGTACTCTGCTGTAACGGCAGACACAGAGGTAACTTTTCAACAATTTGAAAGCTTCTTTCCCACTGTGAAATAACTTTAGCATGGTCACCTAGTTTCAGCATTATCATGCATAAAACACAGGAACAGCACTCCACAATGATGCCTCACAAACGGGTATTCAGTACATACGGTAAGTACATAACAGCACGAGACTTGGGAGAAGACTGAAAAGCTAAACAGAAACCAATGTGTGGCCCTTGACCAATGACAGCATATCTTTCAGTCCACTAATAACATGCAGCAGCTACCCTCCTGAAGATATGAACAGCTGGGAAGCACAGCTGCACTGCATCTGGCAAGCTGTGACACACCAACTGACCATGTGGGACTAAAGGATTTTGCTGGCTTGGTCTGCTAATTGGAGGACTTCAATATAGACAAGGGATATTCCTTATATGGATTACCCAGTATTGAGAAATCCAATATTGCGAGGGTTTACGGTTGTTTTCTGGATTTACATCCCTCCTCTCACTATTTAGGATCTGCTTTTATCCTAAACCTTCCATTTGCTATTACTGTACTCTTTTTTTTTCTACCATAAGCCTTATATTGGCTTCACATCAGTTTACCCTTTCTGTACAGTATTTCATTCTTCTAACTAAAATCAGTCTAACAAACCACATCTTTATTATCCTGGCTCATGAATTTCTTTTTGAATTACAGTATGCATTCCCCACTTTTCAAATTAGTTCCATGCACCCCAAACTTTCTAACAAGCACAATATTAAGCCTTTGATCTTGACACGGGAGACCATATGAGGCACACCGAACTGAAGTAGGACAAGCACAGTAAATGAAAACGAATGAAAATGTAGATAAAGTTTGCAAACCTTCAAATTACCATAACTTTGAAACTAGTGAAGATATAAACATGATTCAAGTGGCAGATCGTAGCATTGTGAGTGCAGATTTAATTGAAACTAGTGAAATACATCATATGTTTTTGGGCATACCAGCACTCGTCCTAATTTTGGGTCTGTTGCCCTGAAAGGGAGAATAAAAGCAAAGGTTTTCTCTCGCAATTTACTTGGAGGGAGGAGTCTTGAATGAGCATGTGATGTCGCTTCAGCTTCACCTTGCTATTCTATTTGGATCAGCTATGATGGATGAGGAGTCAATCCTCAGACAAACCATAATCATCCTTCCACATAGTTTCACTTGAGACTCTGAATCTCTTGCCTTTTATGCCTATCCCTTGCTACATACTTTTCAAATGTATTGTGTACAGGAACATCATTAAGAGATATTCCTCTCTTTACATGGTTTAAAGCAAGATCCAGTTAATATTGGGTTAGTGTCAGCACCACTGCTATGAGTTTTGGTGTGTAACTCCTTGCTGATAAAAAAATAAATAAAAACTTGTAATTTACATGTCTAGTTATTACCGTGTATTTTGATGGTTAAAGAAACAATCACTTTTAGTGATGTTTATAGGGTAGCTTAAAAAAAAAAGTGCTAAACCCTTTGAGGTGTTCTTAATACACCCTATTCACTAAACCTGGGTTACCTTAGCTAAGACTGACACATTCAATCCCTAATACACCAACAATTTTCACATTTCCATTAACAGAGGTATATACCATTGAGAATTTATTAATATTACTCATATACATTCTGCAGCATGAAAGGAGCATCTACAAATGTTACAGAATAATAAATCAGAACCCCAAGAAGAATTCCAGGTAGGCTCCTCATTGTAGCACTTGATTTAATGAGGAATCCCATTGGAGGTCTATGGCTCAAGGATCACTAAAAGTGTGGGAAGTTCCTCTGACAGAACTACACACCTGTAGGCTTTGTGCATACAGTATGCTGTAGCTACACAAAATATTTAGCACTACAAAATTTACACTAGTTATAGTAACAGTAATGTCATACAAATTTACATCCATCTTTTAAAAGAATAACTCTTGAGTGGCCAGAGGTTTTACTTTAAAGTGTTAACATTAGTTCAATGATTATTAAATTAGCTCTTATGCAATAAATACGGCAGTGAATTAAATCTATGTATCACTTGCCTTAGGTACAGAGCCATAATAAGCAATCTAACAGTACTGCATATAATCCTCATGCAATAATTAAAATAACACTCAGTGCAACAACTTTGCACAGGGTGGTTAAAAAACATCATGATTAATTATTCATATACGGTACTGTATATCATTATATACATAGAGAGCCACAGAAGTATGTTTACTTCTTGTTGACAAAGTGCTATCTAATGTTAAGGACAGTATAATTGCAGATTAATTTAAAAAAAATAAGCAACAAGTACAGGTATATGTTATCGCTGCTTAACCATTTTGAAATGCATTTCATGAAGTACAGATATCCTGGGCTCTGCAGTAAAAGACCTTGTAAATAAGCAAACTAAACTCTTATTTTTAGCAACAAGGGATATTGCTGGATAGTGGAAGTATATATTACATACTGTAGTACTGTATCAGAAATAGATAATTTCAGTTAAGTAAATACTTTAGTGTAGATGAATTTTGTGACTGACATTTACAAATACATTTCAACCAATTATTTCAAACTTTTACCTGCACTAGCTGGAAGGCACAGAACACTCTACTTTGCAAGGATCTTTTATGTTAGTACTATTGGTGGGTAATTAAATACTTTTTGAAAATTTTGGTGAAAGAAATACCAAGAGAAATCTAAGATATTCTAAATAAAGTAGTCCCTCGCCAACTGTGGGAATTAGGTTCCTGAAAAACCCTGTGGCTTATGGGAAATAGGGAGTTAGGTTCCATGGCTGCTTTAACCCGTCAAAGCCTAACTAAGTTGCCTGTTCCTTTACTAAATACTGTAATACCTGTAATGTACATTAATTAAATTTTAGTCAAATACATATAAAACTGCTTAATACAAAGTACGTAAATAGTAAAGTACAGTAGTATAAATCTTACAGTACATCTCCACAGAGATAACATGTTACTATAAAATAAGAAAAATGAAGAGCATGGGTGTGTGTGTGTGTGTGTGGACTTGGCAGCCAGCCAAGTTAGACTGTCCCTGTAGCTACATCTCCCTAGCTCTTCACTTACCAACAGGCCAAGCTGTACAGTATTTTTGCAATTTCTTAACTCGCATGTATTTTTGGTTAGATATACAGTACGTAATTTTAATTATTTTTTTTACTCGTTACATGCACACAATCATTCATACAGAATGTGAAAAAAAAAATGATTTTCATTAGGTCAAGAACAAGAAAGAGAATAAACATATCTTAAGTCTGCAGGAGTTAGTGCAAAGGGAAGGCGGGGCAGAGTCAGGGATCTCAGCCTCCCACTACCAAGCCAAGCTGTGAGCTGCATTATTGTTATTTTTCAACTTCTATTTTCAGGTAGATATACCTAACTATATAGAAAAAAAAATTTAAATGCATGCACAGTCGTTCAAACATAATGTTAGAAAAAATTATCACAAGGAATTTTTTTAGAGAATAAACATTTCTTACGTTCGCAGGATTTAGCCCACGATCATGAGGTGGGGGGAAGGAAAGGAAGTGCTCTCCCGTGTCAGTGTGAAAAGATTGTCATATGGCAATGCAGTTTTCCTTATTTTATTTATTAGTAATATTTTTTCCTCATTTATGGAGTAATACATTAGACCGCTGAGGGATAAAGATGCCACACTAATACGCAGATTCTCGAAATCCAATGCTGCAGTTGGTGAAACGTATAAAGTAAAAACCATGGACATCCGGAAAATGCGGTTGGCGAGGATCTACTGTATAGTATATAATAATTTCCAATTGATATCAAAGGTCACTACAGGAAATTGTTACAACCACACACCCATGAATTATCTATTCAAGAATCCCATATATATTAATGTCTATCCTTAAAACCCCTAAGCCATTAATCTGACCAGTAAATAAGCTTTTATTAAGGTTTAAAATTATTCTCACATGTTACCATCAAATCAAACAAGTTATGGTTACATGGTATATCAATCGACTCAAAAATTTAATCTGTATCAGATCCTCATCCTTAATGGTTACTCTTAAAGTTCCCTGTATGAAAGACTCTGAACACATATACAAATTGATCCTCAGCTCATTCTATGTCTATATAGCAGTACTAGTATCTATATCTGGATGTGCTTTATGGGACTTCATATCTGATCATCAATTAATTATATAAAAAATAACACAAAATAATGGTATATAAATTATTTATTTGCCACATTACAAAGTCGTGAATGAAAGCCATTCAGCAGGTCTACATCAAGAGGCCATTTACCTTTGTCCTAATGATATCAAGAGGTGTGTGAAGTATATCTAAGAAGCCATTGTCACTGTTAAAGGAGAATGGGTTTAGCAGAATATCCTCCCAAACACTTTACCTACTGCATACTTTTACAGAAGGAAAGGTACCAACTCAGGCCCCACACTAACAAGAATGTTTTAATTTTCCACTCAAGAAGAAATCACTGTGGTATGAATCCAAACCATAATCACAACTTTGCAATATGACCTATAAATAATAAAAAAAAGTCCTGTAGTATACATCATGAATTTATTGATTCACTCATCCTGACCCTAACTGTGTACAAAGCATCAAATATTACAATGAATTTATCTGGGCAACAAAACTGTTAAGCAACACAGGGCACACATTATAGCCACAAAACCCAATGTCTGACTTCATTCACAAAGGAATTTGCAGCTATGATGTTCATATTCTGGGAGTGTGAAGAACATCTGTAAAGTTTCTTATCTTAGGGTAAAGATCCTGTTCTGCTATTCAACATGTGGTCATAAACCAAGCATGAACAAATATTTACTGTGCACTGTCCAATTTTTAATACATGATTAACAAAATACAGAAGTCGGCAAAACACCACTCCAGAGATTCTGACTAAACGTGTCTTTCAATATTATGATTTTACTGTTCACTCTAATCTCATGTGTGTTCATTAATATTAACTAATTACACTTTGCAGAGCAAATAGGGTTTTCTTTCTGTCAATGTAAGTGCTATGTACAAAAATGCACCTTCAGTTTACTGTGCAACTTACATCAACTACCAAGTTCACATAATAAATATACAGTACAGTACATGTACTGAGAAAAAATATGCTTAGAAATTAATGTTACAATAAATCATCACAGAAAATGTATTTAAATCAGTTTAATAATATGTATCTACAAAATATAAATTCTGAATAAAAAAAAAAGCAAATCATACAGCTGCAAATAAAGTTTGTTGGAAATGTTGTTACAAGGCCATTCACAAAAATAAAGAGAAACAAATAAGGTTTCTACCATTTCCCTTAACTAGGAATTGACCATGCTTTGCTAGCTTGCATTGACATGTTCCAGAATTCTATTTTGTTTTTGCACATTTTGAGATCACACAGCATATCATTATGTAATATGCGGAGCAACTTGACCAGTAATATAAAACCATTTGACTTTAACAAACAAAGCATCAAGTGTTTGAACGTGTGAATGAAGTTGTTAGTAAAAAATAAGTTCTGTTGAAAATAGTCCATGGCCTTAATTTCACAACCAACCATTAATAATATTCTTATTTCTGACAGGAAACTTCAACAAGAACAGATCATCCAATAAAATGTACTATTGTAAACAAGTAAAGAGTTCTCTGCCTTCTTAAACTATACAGTACAAGTATAACCTTCCTGATTCAAAGTTAGCTGGTAGTAAAGGCATCGATTCTAGGTCCAGCTACGGTACTTGTGTGTGTACATACATATGTTTGTGTGTGTGAGTGGGTGAATGATTTAAGTGTCTGTTGATATATATATATATATATATATATATATATATATATATATATATATATATATATATATATATATATATATATATATATATATATATATATATATATATATATATATATATATATATATATACATATATATATACATATATATATATACATATATATATACATACATATATATACATACATACATACATACATACATACATACATACATACACAATACACACACTCACAGACACAAATGTGCACATACAGACTTATAGCACATACCCCCCCACACACACACACACGCACACACACTTCATCAGATCTACTTACAGTAATCTCCATACTTCCACAGTTTGTTGAAGAACTATAATAGAGTTGGTTTCTTAAAAATATAAGTTAATTTGTATAATGGTTAGAGCTTCCTAAACAGGAAATATTTATGTTGCAAGTGTACAAACAATGGTTCTACAAGATCCATGGGTTTTTGAGATATGTGTGGTTGAAGGTTTTGCTATAGCTTATTATATTTCATAACAAAAAATACTGGAGCAGAGACGTGGACAATATTAGCCATGAAAAAATGCACCACACAGAAACTCAAGATATGACTGACCAAAGATACTAAGAAATATTGATAATCTTATGAGTGGGGTTCCGATTGACACTACATTAGCCAGTTTGTTTTTAACAATTACTTTGTGAAATGGTCAAAATTAAGATCAATATACTTTCAATGATATAAAATATGAAGTGAAAACTGGATGTAAAAATTCCAACCATTTCAAAAAGTGCAAAGCCACTACCTAAGCTAATAACCAGAAAGCCACCCCACCCCTTCATTCCCATCTTTTCTAGTTTGCATTAAAAGCCAGTGTGCAAAACATTGAATCAGTTACCAGACATTAGTATATTGCATGATGGCAAATTTTGCCTTTTAGTGCTCTTAAGATGGGTAATGCCTAAAAAGTGTGTGATCTGCTCCTCTATGTATGTAACACCATGACAGACTATACCAGTCACAGTCCTACCACTGGGTACACACATACATGTCAATTACACCCACAAGTGACTTAACATACACACACGCACCACACAAATGACGGCAATCAGTACTAATGTACCCACGAGGGCCTTCGTGTATTAAACTGATGGGGGATTGGTCCGACATTTAGAGAAATACCAACTACTGTAATTGGTAAAAAAGTAATTCAAATACTTTTTACGGTATTTATTAATATTTACTTAACAGAAAGATCTACAAGAAATAGCATTAAGCTGATAATATCCCAAACCCAATTCAGTTTTTATAATTGTTTTGAACCACAACACAATTACAGGATACTGCATATAAAAATTGGTTAATACGACAGAGTTTGTAATTTCCCACTACAATGACAAATTCGGGTAAAAAAAAAATATAGATTAACCTAAAATATATACCGTAGGAATATAAAAACCCAGGAAGACAAACACCTAATTCAACAGAAACAATTTTACAAATCTGGGATAAACATTCACAATGCAAATCAAACTAGCAAGTATCTACAATTATCCTTCTTACTATCATTCTGGTCAGAAAATCCAGTAAGAAGGATTTTAGAGTTACATTTACAATCACAAGGAAAAACATTTTGGCTTCACTTCATGGAACATTAAGCGTAAATGAGAAAAGATTGCCACCATTATAACTCTCGGTCTTAACCTTTAGCTCATGTAAGGTATGGGGAATCAATATCTATATTGTATATCATCTATACAAAATTACATGAGCATATGCCTTATATATATATATATATATATATATATATATATATATATATATATATATATATATATATATATATATATATATATATATATATATATATATATATATATATATATATATATATATATATAAGCAGAAACTTGTTCATACAGTAAAATTATATTTTTGAAACTTATGCTTCACCTAGACTTCAATTCCACCAATGGATATTTTTGTTTCCAGTGATGAAAATTATTTTAACATTTCAAATTTACTCAAATTAATTCAGATAGCCATACAAATCATATGAACAAAATTATGCATCACAAAATGAAGCTCAATAGTTTGTCATGACTACACTTTTATTCCCACTCTTTTATTTGTTATATGCATAATTAAAACCCATATTCATCATCAATTAACAATTTCTACAATTAAATCTCTCAAGTTAAACAAATTTCCCCCAGTCTACACTCCCTTCTACAGTTCACTAGTCCATTAAAATTTCTGCCCCCCCCACCCATTCTTATACAGTACAGTAGTAGCAAATACTTTCTCCAACAACTCCTTAGAATCTCTGGACGCTTCACTTACTCCACCATTGTTGGAAAGGGATGACCACAGACGGTATGAGGGCCATGGCTTAGCGCCCACCAGACTTGGAGTGGGAGATGAGCCACTGAAGTGTGATGTCAATGTTGTCTTTCTCTTTGCAAGATATGGAGTAACAGCAGATTTCCCTGTCCTGGATGGCTGATAGGTTCCTGTAATATATATAAAGGCAGATGGAGTCAACTTTAGTCTCAAGTTGGACCATGATAAGTCACTATTTCACTGGATATCACATGGCCTTAGATGCATCTTACTCAGAAATATATAAAGATATCAGAGTATTGAACCTTGCTTAAAATTCAACTCTACCTAATTATCAAACCCAAGAATGCTTGCACCGTGAAAGTACTAATTACTACATCAGGGAAATATTCCACTTTCTGTATAATGCTGCAGTCATATTTAAAGTGTGTAGAACTTACATTCTCTCAATAAGGCCTTTTTCGTCAAGAGCATTTGGTAGGTCCCTTTTATTCCCTAGCACCAGGACTGGGATACCTGCTAACTGGGGCTTGTCTAGAAGGTTGTGCAACTCATTTCGTGATGCCTCTATCTTTTCTGGGTCGGCAGCATCTACCATATATCTGTAAAAAATTTTTACTTATCAATCAGAAAGGTTTGACCCTTTGGAATTCTTGTGTAAAGATTACACCTACTGCTGAAATATTGCAAATATTTTTCAAACAAATCATCATTCAAAGTACTGTATAAAAATTCTTACCTTAAAGATTGCCATTCACGCATTTGTATGGTTTGTTTTGGCATTATCATGGGATATTTCCTTTTTTTTTTAATAAGAATATTGCAACGAATTCCCTATGTTTAGTTGTTACACGAACTGCCTTTATCCATAACCTGAGATTTTAAATTCATCTACCATAAAGTAACTGTTATTAAGACCCTTTGTTTAACATTGAAAAATAATTGTGTGACAAAATGATGATTCTTATTACACAATGAATCAATTATAGTAATGTAACTTTATGTGAATAAATGTTTTGGAAGAAGTCAATGGGATGAATTCGTACAAAGTACAGTATTCATTTTACAGTGTACATTACTGTAAAGACAATTGGTGCAAGTTTCAATTGCTGTATGTAGAAATCAATCCAAAACAAAGAACTATTGAAAAAAATTGTACAGTAGTGCATTAAGATGTATGCCCTGGTTGTGAGAGAAGAACTCTGAGAAGTGGCACCACACAATTTTTTTTTCTTTCCATATAATGGAAGTTGACTATATAGTCTACACAGATGAAACTAGCACAAGGAGCATGTTGTGCAAGCATGAAGGTTGGGATAAGAAATTTATTAAAAAAAAAGGTAGTCCATGTGAGCAACTGCTACGGAGTTAACAAATACATCTATGGAGGTGCAAAGTATAGTTCAGTTCAGTGAATATTCTGTAGTACAGTACAGTGCTGCACCTGTAAAGTTAGAAAAGGTATGCCAGAAGCCAACAGATGAAAATGTGAATAACTACAGAATTGTGCACATAATATCTAGCATACTGTTAATTCTCTTAATGATTAACAGGCACAAACACTAAAAAAAAACCTTAATAAATTACACAAAAGATCAATTAAAATAAACTACAGTATATATGATACTCACACTATGGCATTTACACCTCGACAGTATCGCTCCCACATAGACCTGAATCGTGGTTGTCCTCCAATGTCCCAGACCTTGATGGTGACGTTACCCTTTGTGATCTTTCGCATGTTAAAGCCCACTGTAGGGATCATGTCTTCACTAAACTGCCCTGACTGTTAGACCAAAAGAAATATATTACAACCAGCTTGCAAATACACAGTTACAGCATATATACTGCATAAACAAACTGAAATAATTCTTAAATTTACAAATAATTATTAATCAAAACTATGAATGGCCCAAAGTTATGGAATGGCAAATTTAAATAAAAAAATAGCAATTACCTTTCGAGTAGCTGAGGAAGTCTGCCAAAGAATGTCAAAAGATGATCTTTGCAGCAACTTTTCTTGTACCGTACGTTTAATACCTGAGCCTAGCTTTAAGTCAGATCGATTCCTATTATTACACCAACCATATCACTGTAGTTTATGGTTACAGGTGACTAACATTTTTATGAGCAAATGAATAACACGGCAGGTGAGGAACTACTGTACAGTAGTTTGTTCAACTGCCAAGCAAAACTTTATTTAAACTATTAATGATTAAAACAATATAAACCAACCTAATCTAATTGTATGATAACATTTTGAGTAGAGCTCAGTTAGGTTTGACTGGTCTGTGAAATGTGCCATTATTAATGGTTTCTGCCTGAAGACTCACCAAGTGAAAAGAAAAATTATAATCAGCTTTTCTTTGAGCCTGAACATTATAATCAATCCCAGCAAGTTTAATGTCCTGCTGTGTATCATACTCTCATCAAAATCAGACCATGCATGGCAGAAGTGAATAAACACTCAAACCAACAATTGTCAGAAAATGCAGTTCATATTACCATAACTCTTGAACGAATAAAGATAATGTTGTCATTAATTTTTTCCACTTAGCTTTCAAACTCTGGAAAATGGAGGTACAGTACAGTGTAGTGGAAATTATGGGTTTGTCCTGGAATATTTTTGGGAATGTGAACAGAGATCCTAATGGGATTATAATCCAATACTTACCACTAATGATTACCAAAAATAAGTTTAATATTAATAAACAATAATACTGTATAGTGTTTAAGAGATTATAGTAATATAAACATAACCACTATAACGGTAATCTAGTTAAGTGTGTAAGTAAAGTTAATTTTGGCACCTGCTATAGAGTAACATGTGGAACTGGGCAGGATGGAAATACAGTACTGGGTGCAGATTGGACCGCAAGACTTCTGTCGGGTAATTTTGCCATGGCAGCACATTATGCTGTCACTGATTGGCTGCAGCACCAGCAAGTGAACGTTGGACATAGCTTTTTCTGCAGGGATGCCTTCAGCCAAGCGCATGTTACAGCTATTTTGGGGGGTTAAGTCTTAGGATTTTAGACCCTTTTGCTGCATAAGGAGTTATCTCTAATTGGGATGCCTAGAGGAGAGCTGGAACAAGTGTGTGATGGCAACAACTTATTCTAAACTGCGGTGGTGCTTATACATCTCTGCCGTGCACAGCCTCACATATCATACAATAACTTTTAATTTCCATTTTTTGCCTTAAACTGACCCTAGAGAACACCATTCTATTACTGAAACACTTGAGCTAAAATAATTGCTTTACAGTATTTAAATTTGTACGGTACAGTATTCATACTGTATTCTACTATATTACATGATAAGGGGTATTGATTTGCTCTGTCCATTTCTTGTCTACACTCTGGTTTTAGAGCCCCAACTAATTGATGAGGCTTTTAAAAACTGGGAATAAACAGGGTCATAGCCGGGGGGAGCAAGAGGACAGACTTGGTAAAGCTTTATTTTTTGAGCAAGAGTGTAACCTTCAAGAAATATATCTAATAATACTGTACAGTACAGTACTGTATATCCATAAAATGACTCCACGTCCTTAATAATGGTTTATTACCCTTAAAAATTTTCCTTTGTTTCGTTGATGCACAAATTCTAAAAACTTAAAATTTACTAAGGACTCGCAAGCAAGACGTCACTAAGGAAAAAGCAAGCAAGCCCTGTCTTCTGTGCATTTGGCAAAGTGACAGAAGCATTGACTAACTTTGTCTGATTTTTAGCAAAATTTAAAAACTGACCTAATCAAGATAACATAAACTAATGCTTGGCCACGTCAGGCCTGATGAGAATAAAGTCGTACTGGACTTCTGTGGAGTGGGAGAGACCACTCCATTCAGTCATGTATGAAAAAAAAAGTTAACGAGAGTAAACATTGGGAAAATTGAGTGGTAAGCCATGCTGTAATGTGTGCTGTATGTGTAATGGTCAGCAAGCTCGCCTCGCAAGCAAGTGGTCCCGGGTTTGATTCCTGGGTAGGGTGAAACTATGGCCAAATTTACGCCATTTGCCTCTGTCTACCCAGCAGTAATTGCGAACCTGGATATTAATCAATTTGTGGATCGTGTTCCGGGGTAATGGTTAGCCAGTGCAGTTGGCGAGTTGTCCAATTTTTTTGTGACAATGGGTCATGTAATTTGTTAACTTACAGTGTGGTTGTTGTGTTGGTGACAGCTTCTACACCTTAAACAAATTCACGTCTAGGTCGCACTTGGGCCAGCCATCCTCATACACAAGGGGGATTCATTAATTAATGTATACAGTACTGTAGTACTATCTCAAAAAAGTATCAGCCAGGATGGGTCCGATGACTTCCGAAACGCTACATGCAACTCGTGATGTCCAAGGAGGGTTGGTATGCATGGCTCTATGGCATACTGATCCTACTACATTTGGCGACACCATATTAATTACGCTGAAATTAATACACACTGCATTCTTATGTTAAACTGTATACCAAAGTAAATGCATGTCCCAATATCTATCATCCATGGTCTCATAATATTTCACACTGTGTGGACAGACATTTTTTTTTTGAGATTCTGTACATAGCCCTACGTTGATCAAGTTCAAACAATCTTTCATTTCTTGACTTCACTGAGACCATATAACATCCTTAATCTTACCAGCCTACTATAACTTGACTTTCAGGCAAGGATTATTTTATAGGTATCCAGCCGAATAACCACTGGTTATTTGACCATGGATTATGTATAATTTTAATGTGTACATTATTGTACAGTCTCGTTCAAGATTCTTCGAAAACTGCTGGAGACACCTATAACTCAAGGCCATTTGTTTACTATAGTACGTAGTAAAAATTATGAATGAATGTAAAAGGTAATCGGTGATTGGTTACTTAGTTCCCTGTTGCTTAATTAATGGTTGGGCTTTGTTGTTTCGTATTATATTATACTACGTACTGTAGTAAACAAAAGGCCTCGAGTTGCCAGCTGTCTCCAGCAGTGTTCGAAAAATCTTGGAACGAGACTGTACATACTATAAAGTATATGCATTTTTATAGCCTGAGAAAAATTATTATTTTACTACATTTGTAACTTAACCTAACCTATGTCCATGAGAGAAGTGAAACATCTTGGAGCATCAGAAAACCATTAAAAAAAAAGAGTGATACCTGTAAAGCATAACCACTGGTTATTTGACTATAATAATTAATATTTTACTACAGTGAGGTCTGCATTTACGCGGTCAATTGAACCCGTGGAGGCCAGCGTAAAACGAGAAACGCGTAAATGAAATAACAGAACATATGGGATTAATTGAAATAGAGACTGGGCCGACCCCCAAACTCCACTTTTTCCGACACAATACGTACATTGTAGTAAAAATAACATCTTAATTTTATGATGGTATGCACACATAATTAATAATTAAGAGAAATATCAATAATATTAGGTTTTTTAACACTTACGTTAGTAGAAAAGATGGGTCGGCACACGTGGATGGCGGCTGGTTCCGAGGCAGAGGGCAGATTAGTTGCCCTCCGGTGAATCACTTTCACTACTCGCAGAGGTTTGCAGGGCCTCCCAGACAAACCCTTCAAAGTCCACATCGTCACTATCACTGACTTGGGCTGGCTGTAGTTGTGGTGGGTTGCGGGCGAGGAAGTCCTCAATACTACGTTGACGACTAGCATTGATGTTGTCGAGATAGATCTGGATATACGGCTCCATAAATTTCGTCAGATGGTTACTAGACGCTTCATACTGATGCTTGTCTGGGTCGTTGTTAAGGATGAGCTTAATTTTCTCCCCCAACTTGATGATTTCCTTCACACAATCATTGTTTGGTCCAGGTAATTCAATGTTTTTCTCTGGTGGTGGGGGTCCCAAGGAAGCCATTGTGAGGAGAATAGCGGGCACAAGAGAAAACTGTATATGCGGACTGAGAACAATGAGACAAGCCCTGCTAGGTTAGCGACTTCTTCCCTCCAGTGGCAGGGCACGTCATATTACATTAAACCAATCACAGCTAGCGGGGGTGGGAGGTAAGGATGCGTGGCCCAATCACAGTCCGATATTTCATATGACGTCACCGATAAAGCAACAGCGACATACTGCGCAACCTTACTCGCGCCGCTTGATGGGATGGCGGGCCGCATGAATCCAAAATGCCGCGGCGCATGTGGATCCTCCAGCGACTCGCCGCGTAAATGACCAAATTTACTGTGTAATTAAAGCATTTCGATTCTGGCAAGGCACCGCGTAAATTACCAAATGCGTTAACCAAAACCGCATAAATCCAGACTCCACTGTATATTTGTGTATGAATTTACCATGTAAATACAGGTATGTCTGAATTTACTTATTATTATTACCAATATAACTTTTAATAACCTACATCTTATATATATATATATATATATATATATATATATATATATATATATATATATATATATATATGGTACCCCACTTAACGGTCAATTGAACCCAGAGGGTCCCGCGTTAAGTGAAAACCGCGTTAAGTGAATAACAGAACATATGGGATTAATTCCAATAGAACCCAGCCCGACCCCCAAACTCCACTTTTTGACGACAAATAACTATGTTGTAGTAAAAATAACATCTTAATTTTATGATGGTACATGCACACAATTAATACTTAAGAGAAATACAGTCGCCAAGTTAATGTCCATTCAAATAATGGACTCAACTCCCTCCCCCTCTCACACTACAGTACACAGCCAGCTAACAGATGGTCGGTCGGTCCCTCCCTCCCCCCCCCCACCCCCCACCAACCGTCCCAAGGAGATGTGTGGGATAACCTCAAACTAAAGTTAGGAAAATATAATTGACATTGCTGGATTCCTTGTAAGACCAGGAATATTTTGAATATAAATGTCATATATTTTGGACAAAAGATAACATACTTACTCAGATTAAACATTTTATCTAAAAATTGTATGTTTAATGCAAAAAATATGTTGTTTATATTCAAAATGATCACCAAATTATAAGAATTCCAGCAATGTAAATTATATTCTGACCGGGTAATTTGTATGAATTTTATGAGCTAAAACAAATATCTTCAGTTAAAAAAAAATAATTCTTCACTGGGTAACAGATGGTCGGTCGGTTGGTCCCTCCCTCCCCCCCACCCCCCACCAACCGTCCCAAGGAGATGTGTGGGATAACCACTAAATTTTAATAAATAATACCTCAAACTAAAGTTAGGATAATATAATTGACATTGCTGGATTCCTTGTAAGACCAGGAATATTTTGAATATAAATGTCATATATTTTGGACAAAAGATAACATACTTACTCAGATTAAACATTTTATCTAAAAATTGTATGTTTAATGCAAAAAATATGTTGTTTATATTCAAAATGATCACCAAATTATAAGAATTCCAGCAATGTAAACTATATTCTGGCTGGGTAATTTGTATGAATTTTATGAGCTAAAACAGGCAGTCAGGCAGGGTGGCGGGTGGGGGGTGGTGCGAATCTAAAAATAGCTCTCGAGCCGGACACTCACCGCGTTGCTGTGGAAAAATCCGCGTTAAGTGAAAGTTCAGCTTTGGCAAGGCACCGCGTATATGCGAAAACGCGTTAAGTGAAAGCGCGTTAAGCGGGGTAATACTGTATATATATATATATATATATATATATATATATATATATATATATATATATATATATATATATATATATATATATATATATATATATATATATATATATATATATATATATATATATATATATATATATATATATATAATCAACGACCTCACCAGCAAGGAATCGAACCCTCGACCTACTGGGTGTGACTAGGGAACGCTTACCGGCTAGGCCACAAGGACACTAAAAGCAGTTCTAGACTCTGTTATATTTCACACAAAGCCTGTTCATCGAGCTGATGGTGCCGTGAACCTCAATGGGAAACTGCCCGTGCCTCTTATGTGGTGTCAGTAGCATTTTACCGAATCCAGCTGGTATGAAACGCGAGGTACATATATATACTTCATTTTTAGTCCATATAACACGCGGACTTTGAACAGATAATCAACGACCTCACCAGCAAGGAATCGAACCCTCGACCTACTGGGTGTGACTAGGGAACGCTTACCGGCTAGGCCACAAGGACACTAAAAGCAGCTCGATGAACAGGCTTTGTGTGAAATATAACAGAGTCTAGAACTGCTTCTAGTGTCCTTGTGGCCTAGCCGGTATGCGTTCCCTAGTCACACCCAGTAGATCGAGGGTTCGATTCCTTGCTGGTGAGGTCGTTGATTTTATATATATATATATATATATATATATATATATATATATATATATATATATATATATATATATATATATTTTGAAGGGCTTTAAAATAAAACTGGAATACTGTATTGTACTATCCTAACCTAACACAGTTAGATATAACCCACAACATTCAGAGAGGGTCACAAGAATATAACTGTACATTCTCATGAAACAAAATTCAGACCAAGTAACAACTCCAAGGAACTTAATAATGTAATGTCTAGTGTAATATCTACTGCCATCCTAACCAGAATCAATTTAAGATCATTGTAAAATCATATACAATCACCGCAGATCCCAGTCAAATAGCCGATGGTTATTCGACTTGGAAATCCAGGTCAAATAACCACTTTGGACAGTTTACTGCCATTTATGACGCTTGCTTGGAAAAAGGACATCAACCTTCAACAGTGGACAATAAATTAAGAATCCAATGGTGATTCCTTTAAAAATAATCTTGAATAATATAGTAGCATCCCTAAATGTAATCTTTACCCAAAATTTGTCTCACTTGTAGCCACTCTACAACCTAACTTATAAGTACAGTACCTGATAAAGCTAGTTGCCCCTCTTTTAAGAAAAGCTATTTTGGGTAAAGGTGTAGAAGAGGGTGACCACCACAAGGAATTGTCCAAATTGGTTGAAATTTTTTATACACACTAATATGATATTAAACACAAAAATGGAAACGACAATGCATAGAACCTAATAGAACCTGACCTAACATACCTAACCTATGGGTTTGTTAGGTCAGGTTCTATGCATTATAGTGTTAATTTATGTGTTAAACAACTTACCTTAATATTGAGGTTGATATACTGTATATCAGCAATGGCAAGGAGGAATACGTGGAAGCATTCACCATTATTTAGGAAACGTCTCTTGAACAGGGATTCCGCGGGGTAAACAACAAAAATGGCGCTGGGAGGAGAATTGTGAAGTGGGATAGAATAAATTAAAAGATTCTCTGCATTGTCATTCCCGTTTCCGTGTTTAAAATCATGTTACTAACATTATTTAAAAAAATTAATACAAAATAATGCATAGAACCTTATAAAACCTGACCTAACATACCCAACCTATGGGTATGTTAGGTCAGGGTCTATTAGGTTCTATGCATTGTTGTTTCCATTTTTGTGTTTAATATCATATTAGTGTGTAGAAAAAATTTCAACCAATTCGGACAATTCCTTCTGGTGGTCACCCTCTTCTACACCTTTACCCTATTTTGTACTCAATTGCTCTGACTTTGTTCCTGTTCATAGTCAACTCTTCTTTGTTACCTGTTATGTAAGTATCTTCTGAAACTCGTTCTGAAAGTTCACATGCTATTTTTCAAATTAAAAAATTATAAACTATGTAGCAGTACAGAATCTCATCCACTTACCTAACTCATAATACAGTATACCATACCTCTATTTTCCCTTCTCAAGTCAACCATTTTGTTTTTCTTGGAGTCATAGTCAATTTCCTTCCCATATATATGCTCTTCCACTGTTTATCATACGGAGAATGAAATTAACAGACAAAGAAATATTTTAAAATGACAAACAATACATCACTCACCATAAAATAATAAAAAAACGAAAACAATATTAAGTGAAAGAAAATGATGAAGCTGACATAATAACCTAACATGGTTTGAAACAAATAAACAGAGATCATCAATTCAAGCAAGCAAAATTATTAACACGGTATCCTCATATTAGTGTTTTTTGGTACCCGCGAGAACATATTTCACACTAGTAATAAGGTATACAGCATGTTCCAGACAGGGAGTCTCTACACAGATCTCTCTGCTGTTGTTACTAAGCCGTATGCCATACCCTTGTCTTAGGCCTAATTTTGGCCTTTAGTCAAACACAATAGACTTACTGTTTCCCATGACTGATTCCTTCGATAAACTTCATTATATACATATATATAAAAACAAATATTTTTTCCTCGGATTGCTATGATACATTTAATGAGGGGTGAGGCTCATAATCTATATCACTTATACTTAAAGCAATGAATGAGACAAGAAATACTACTCAATGGCAACGCCTTTAACTTACAGCAATAACATTGACGAAGGTCGTTTTGCCAGAGTACTGGAGCCCAACCAACGTCAGCTCCATTTCCTCCTTCCAGAAGAGACTCTTGAACCAGTCTAATATTCTGTTGATCAGCGCCAGCATTTTGTTTTACCCTCAACAACCACTTATAACGAAAATCTCCCGATTTCTGTCAGTCTATGACTAAACAGCAGCACCCAAACACCTATAGATGGAATGAACACTGTCTCTGGTTTATAGGATCACGAACCTTCTTGTAAAATGAGCATCGCACACCAAGGCATTTGTAGTCGGTGAATTATTGGTCATCTGATTTATAACGTTTTTGAATCTTTTATCTTTCTTCCAATAAATTATTTGATAACACTTTGTGTCCAACAGATAGATGTGAAAATGGGCCTCTTGACAGAATATATCATAATAAAGTTTATTTTTATTATAGAACAAATATTTATAACGGTAACTTTTGATTTGTATCGTTCAATATAAATTGGTAGACGTGTAGTCACCTCTTATTGATTGACAAATTAGTCTATTTCTTTTATTTTATATTGCCTGAAAATGGAAAACGCACTTACATAATATATGTATATATATTTATTTTTTTAGTTAGAAAACAAATGTTATAAGAAGAATTTAATGAAAAGCATCAATATATATGCACGTGTCTATACAATGGTCACCATGTTCCATTATGTAGGCTAATCAATATAGCTGACAGTTAATATTTTGACTTTGCGGACTTCATAACTATCGATTAAGTTAAATTGACATACAAATGGAAAACTATACAAATTACAGTTAGAATACTAAAAATTTCCCAGTACTCAAGGTATTACAATATTTAATTATTCTACACAAGCATCCGCAGTATTTGTACTCGCGAATATACGGGATCATGTGATTCACCGACCTTGTGTGAATGACTCATGTTGCGTGATGATAAATTTGTTTGCGTATCTCTGACTGACTTCCTATAACATCTACTCATTTGCCAATCTCATCTCCCAATTTGCCACTCATTTGCCAATCTCATCTCCCGATTTGCCACTCATTTGCCAATCTCATCTTCCGATTTGCCATTTTGTCACTATGTTATTAACTAATCTGTCAAACTTATAAGCGGTTCTATTGGGGAGTGGTCGGCTAAAAGCCCTGTAGCCGGTAATTTTCCATAGAGTGAATTCGATAACTTTCAGTTGCGGACAGAACGTCAGCTGTCTTGGATTGATCCAGTCTTTGACGTCATTATCGCCCAAGCGTTGACTGGCTGGATTTTAGACGTACAAAACTGGTATTCGGAGTTAGTATGACGATCACCCAGGGGTAACAAAATAATGGAATTTTTAATGGTATTATTTTCATTGGTGAAGTCAAGATGGCTCGACAGACCGACGTGGGATTGGTAAGGTCGTCTGCAGAGGTTATAAGTGTGGAGGGCTACATCCAGCGCGGGAGGGGTGAAGGGAGCGTCTTTCCGACGCTGGAGTTTGCGTGCCTTGGCGTGTAGTCGATCAGCCTCGATTTTTTTTTTTTTTTTACAACCTGACGTGTAGTACTTCTCCGAACGTCTTGGTTAAGGTGATGGTCTCCCAGGTGAGAGGGTCGATTTGGCACTGTACGTGATTCACACTTATATTTTACTAGCATTATCTAACTTGACAGTTCTAAACCTCACTAATTCATCCTTATAGCCTATCACTTCTTCCTCTCACACTCTTGCCTTTAGCTATATTGTTAGCACTATTTATTAGTTCCGCCACGCACTCCATATGTCAGTATCACCATTGGCTACTTTCGTCCATTCGACTCCAGAGACGTTTGGACCCCTTACATTAATTATTCTTCCATCACGATTCTTAACTATATTAGTTCCCTGAATTCTCATAACGTTTTGCATTATATTTTTACCACACTATCTGTACCTGCTAGTTGACGTAAGTCTATATGCATTGTCATTTAGGTTTTATTCTACTCTTAAAATATATTACTACTTTTGGGATTATGTCATCTAACCTGCACCTCTTTTTGACGATGGGAAGACGAATCTCATCTTTAGGCGGATCTAGACAGCTCCTATTAGATGTGGTAACTTAGCTTTTACACAGACTAGTCTTGTGAGAACCTTATCATATATATATATATATATATATATATATATATATATATATATATATATATATATATATATATATATATATATATATATATAATATCAAGGGAAGAAATCAAAGAAAAAAGAAACCGAGTATGGTGGTTGATAACAAATTAACCTTTCAGGATAATATAAGAGACAAAGTCAATTAGGTAAACAATGATGGGCTTAACTGACAATCATTGACTCGTACATATAGAAAATTAGTCGGCTCATATTTAGAGATCACTAATGCAGTTATGGCATCCCCACAAGATGAGACGTCTACGCTATTTCAAGTGTTCGAAGTGGTAACAAAATTGGTACCCACATAAAAGAGTTATGAAGATTGCCCGAGAAGATACAGTTGATGGTGTACTGCAGAATATGTAGGTATTTAGTGAAGAGATAAAGAATTGAAACAGTTTATTTAGCCAGAATGCTACATATATAAAGTGAACAATACATTTCACAGCAAGTACTTGATGTTTACCGAATACTGTACATATTTGAGAGCTAAGACATTTTCATATGCGAAATAATTCTTCACCAATCAGGAGTAAAAAAATCACGAGACTCATCTTTAATTGACAGACTAGTACAAAAACGATCACTTACTGTATGATATAATGGTAAAATAGTTGGCATACTCATCAGTAGGGGATGTTGTAACTAACTTTTCAATACGGGGGCAACGGACATGATTTAAGAAATGATTTATGGGAATGGAGTGTGGTCTCGTCGGGTTCAAGGGGAAATATCGTTCTACAGCTTCATACCTTGATGGTATCTAAGAAGTTTGAGGACTGAAATGAACTTATAGGGGGGCGGCCTCTTTGGGTTATACAGTTATACAGCAGTTTAAGACACACAGGCACACACCAAGTTGAGATAAAACTACTTCTCGTTGTGTAAGGTGGACACAAGTAACAGCTTACCTAACCAGGTGGTCAGGTTTTTACATTTTGATCTTAGGCTTAGACGACTAGAAAGCAATGGTCATATCTAAATGTAAAGGAATAAAGATGTTTTATCGCCACTTAGCTCACTCCATTTAGTACCAATTGTTGTTACACAATTGTTTGATGATTTAGATGCAGTCCTGACGCCTTTGTCCAAAATAAGCGCAAAATACAAGTATACTGGGAAGAAGAATAAATCAAACCATGATGCATGAGCACCACTGCTCTTGAGCAATGTCTTAATTAAGCGACCAAATGAATGTGATTATGATGTTTCTAGTATTAAAATAACAATGTTTTTATTTCGTACGGATCAATTAAATTGATATAGTGTCTATATAAAAGTATCATTGATTACTGCTTGGGGACGATATCAATTAAAACTTAAACATCAAAATGAATTAATACTAATATAAAATAGAATAACATTTCCTTGATTATTGGTATAAAAAAGTATAATATATAAGACTCTAATTAATTTTGAGTTTAATTATTATTTCATGCTAAAATACAAAAAGCTCTCAATTGCCCCCGGAGTCACAGCACCCCTGCACAGCTGATCAACGATGGCCGCCTCGCTCTCTTCTCTCGTTCGCAGGACTATTACCACAGCCGTACGAAATGCTTCTTCAAGTGGGGGAGGGGCCCACGCTCACGATGGTAACTATAACAGGTTGATATAGTGGAAGATAATAAACACGTGGAGGAGTGTAAGACATGGTTAAAGTTGTCGACCGGTGGAGGTGGTTGAGTCATTACCTGGGAGTGAATATTTACCTCTCACCCGTGGATGATGTTTTTTAATGAACTTTTAATAAAGCCAATTCCTTATATTACTGTATTATTTATATTTAGAAATCAGTTAGTTACTCATAGGTGGTGATGAAGGTAAATAAGCCGGATCAAGGTTATATTTACAGGAGGTAATGGATACTATACATTGATTTAACTTTAGGTTTGAGGACTGTTTTTGTTTTGAAATTACTGTAGTTTATCTTTATCATTGGGATTAAGACTTTTTTACCACTTGATAGTTTGGGGTATTATCATTTCGGTCATTGCAGCGAATTTTATAACTAAGTATAGGTTCAGTTGGGTTGGCTTAGGTTAGGTTAGGTTAGGTGGAAACTATTTTTCTGAAGGTTTTTGATGTGTTTTGAACGATTCTGACCTTCCAAATGCTGTAGGTGTATGACTGAAACGATAATTTTTTTTATATTCGTGCATTACTTTAAAGTGATAATTTGTCAATTTCTATAGACAAGTGCAGCAGTTGTTGCATTAATATACTAGTACAACAGCCATTATTTAGTAATTTTATTTAATCCAGCCTGTTAGTGGGGAGGGTAATACTTGACGAGCGATCTGGCTTAAGCACGAAATTGAGAACATATCTCCAAAGAAAAAAAAAAGGTTTATTACTTATGGAAAATGTAATTATTTACCACTTCACAGCCGTTGATTTTTCATAGAAAGCGAGTTCAAAGCCGTCCCAATATCACTGTTTTATAGTGGACACTGTCATAGTTATGGCAAATGTGTTAAAATATGGTTATTTCTAGATTAAACCTAACATAACCTTAGCTGATAAGAAAAACAAGTGGCAGAAGCATTACTAGAAGACCACACTAACCTAACCAAACAAACTTACCTAACCTTAACTAACTTCCTAATCCCGGACCCCCCGTCATATTAAACAAAGAACTTACTATTATATGGTGTAATTTGACTTTTTTGTGGATGTGAGAGCAACGATCCGATCACCCCTGGTTTATGAACATACACTGGCAACTAGCATCGATCGGAGATGATTGGCTATATACCGCCACATCATGCTGAGAAAGACAGAGTAGTGCACGCCTAGTCACCTAATTACCAAACAAAGCAATTTCCATAACAATGACTATTATATCAGAACTCAATGATGAAAATATTGTAAGAATATAAACATCAGAACAATTAACTTGTCGGCTGTGAAGTCCTCCATATTAGCCCTAGAAAATTACCCAAAATGCACAAGGAATATGCGAGAAATTTCTCATATTTTTTTTTTATTTTTCGTCTAAGGAGGAGCTGCCTCTTTTCACCATGTTTACTTTCTGTGATCGAGTGTTGGTTCATTTCCTAGATTTTTTTCGATACAGCTACATATTATTATTAATTGTACATAAAAACTAACCTACAAAACCTAACCTATTCTAAACTACTGCAGTTATTTGGTATACTGTACAGTATATTCTAAACTTAATTTTTTTTTTAATAAATATTGCTACATTGTATAATTTATCATTCATAAAATGAAAACTAACCTACCAAACCTAATCTAACATAGGTAGCCTAAATACTACAGTTATTTTATATTTTATTCTTAAGAACCTGAACTTCCCTTTTGCTTAAAGAATCATTCCTTCAGTCGAAACATGGCAAGGTCATTATTTGCTGTCTTCCTCCATCGATTTTGGACTTAAAATGTGGTATTACGCAAAAATGCATTCCTTGTGCACTTTTTTAATTTTATCTGTAGACAAACTTTTTGTTTTAATTCATAAAATCTGATTCCAGTGGGGGAATGAGGAAGGAAAACAGCTTGGGATACTGTATACAATACAGTAGTATTGTACTTAGAAAATGGCAAGTTACTCTGATGAATTGACCAAACACATTGGTGAAGTATGTCTGATTGTATTAGGAACTTACTACTGAGTGATGTATTGCAGGGTGAAATTTGGGGAATTATCAAGTGTGAGAAGGAGTTTGTGCTTATAATTGAGGAGGACTTTTGAGGGGACCCCAGGCAAACAAATTGAGTTCGGAAGACTAAACATTTCCTTGTGTGCCAGCAAGCATGAGCAGGTTGAACGGGAGAGCTATATTATGGTTATTTTTCAACTCGTAATTTCGAGAAGGTAAACTAAGATTTTTTCACTATTTTTGTTACTGATTTATATGTATACACAATCCTTCATATATAACATGCAAAAAAAAAGTAAAAGAAATAACTATCCTACAGTCAAAAACATAAAGGGAATAAATCTTTGTGTGTGTGTGAGCGTGCTGAGCTGGAAGGAGGGAGTGGGGGCAGCGCCCCAGTGGGGTGGAGTTGCTATGGCGAGCTTTGAAGCCATGTGGCTACATCTTATGCAATTGGCGGTTGTGTTAAACTTTCATTTAGCTTTACCTTGATGGTTTCAGTTGCATATTATCATCTTTATACGAGTATTTTATTAATGTGTTGGGTAGTAAAATTACAGTAGATGGATACTATTTTCCATCAGTTCTCCAACATGTAGAACAGTATTATATCAAAAATGAGAATGACAAAATAAAATATTCGCCTTAAACTTATTTTATTTTACAGGTGGATATAAGCAGTGGAAGATGGTTTCCATTCTAGTTGCAATGCCTGCAATTGCACTGTGCATGGCAAATGCTATCCTTTCAGAACATGAACACAGGCCAGATTTTGTTGCATATGAACACCTACGCCTCCGCAATAAGGTAAGGAATATGTTGAGAATCAATCAAGCCATGTCTCATTATATTTATACTTGGATATTTTGTTCAGATATATAATAATAATAACAGCTGGTCTTTTGTTTCTCAAAAGAGCCAGTTCTTCTAAAGAATTCACTAATGCTCAAAACACTGCAAAGTCGAAGACTTGAGAATAAAATGAAATGCTGTACTACAATAAGAGATCATCAAAAGTGAGTTTTAATACTTCCTAAACCCTCTAATTCTCCATCACCATGCCTTGTTCAGGATCTTAAACTTTCAAAAAAGAGAGGTCTTAAGTTGTTTCTTAACGACCTCCACAAAAGTCAGCTGCTTCATGGATGCAGGCAACCGATTGTACAATCTGGGTGCTGTATAGGAGAAGGATCAGGCAGCAGAAGAACAAGTTTGGAATTATTGTACAATAAAAGTATTGTACATTCTATTTCCATGTGTTGCTGTAGTCAGTTCTTAAACAGGCAGTGCAGATTATGGAAGATTTACTTGTCCCAAGCAAGTGACTTGTGATATTTACTTGCTCTGGCAGTTTTTTTGAGGAAATTTGCTCCTGAATTTTTTATGGTTAAAGTCATATAAACAGTGGCGGTAAACCTTGTCATGTGATAAAAAAATTTATGTTACCTCACTTCACACCTGCAGGGTGTGTGGGGAGTGGAGGCAGCATCTGTGATCACCTACCCTAACTACCCCCCCTTTAATGTGGTGTTAGTGGCAGTAACAATTGTCATGTAGGGTCATAACTCCTGTCACCTCACATCTACAGCCTCTCAATTTGGTGGTTCCTTTGACAAGTTGACAGACTGACAAGAGGCAAGTTGGCAGCTTAATGTACTGTAGAGGTAAATTACCTACATCTGACATAGGTTACGTATCCTGGTTACACATGTATGGTGAGGTGGGGTTGTGTAGCACCTGCCAATTTCACGTTTAGTGATTTTTTTTGTCCACTCGGCAAGTTATGGGCACATAAACATGAAAATTCACTTGCCCAGCTCTTAGTCCGGGCACTGCTAATCTTCATAGCCTGTTCTTAACCTATGTAGGTAAGTACACTAGTTACCACTTTTAACTGTGTTTCATATATTCGCTTAAACACATTTTTTCTATCAGGCAAAATTTCAAAAGTCATGCCAGAGTTACTTTAGACCACACCACTCCACTGACGGGTTCTTTGCACAGATAATTTCTTCCTTTTGCCAACCTAGAATGTCAGGTCAGCAACTCTTCCTTCATATTGAGTGACTTTTGTTGGTAATATTTATCCTGTGGTATGTGATAACAGGTATCTAGGAGGTCCCTATGTCAGTCAGTTGGTGGTCTGGGTATGCATAGTTTATAAAGGAAGTTCACATGGAATATACACCAATATTCAACCCTTCATCTTTTCAGAGAGAGGAAATGCAGCTGGCTTCTGTGCCAGGGTTCTTTGCTCTGTTATAATGAATTTATGATGGGTATTTATTATATTTGTATTGATTTAGGAGTTGTGTCATGTCCTGTGTATTTAATTTGGTTTGTTTCTGTTAGTGTCTGAAAATTAGCCCCTAGGAACACATCCTCCATTTTTAACACTACAGTATTTCTAGGAGAAATTAATTTTCACAATAAATTTTTGCATTACACACCACTTCTACAGAACGCATCCCTTTCATATAATAATATACTGCATATTTTGTATTTTATTATTTTTTTCCAGCGCTTCCCTTGGGGTGATGGCAAGAAGTCACTTTTCCACAATACCCATTCCAATGCTCTCCCTGAAGGCTATGAAGATGAGGAACATTAAGAACTTCCCAGTAAAGTATTCCATAGAAGTAATTTAAATTATCTCATGTCTGTGTAATGACAACACTCTTGTACATAACATGAAATACATTTACGAATTCGTAATATGTGGGCCTTTGATTTTTTTTATGATGACATGAAATAAAATGTAATATATTGATCTTTTTTTTTCTTAAACTTAAATCTACATGGTATACCTTATTTTAAGAATAAGAAAGTTTGTAACTACTGTATTAACATGTAGGTAATTATTTATAGCCTCCCCTCGACTTACGATGGGGTTCTGTCCCGACAACCAGGTCGTAAGTCTAATGTAATTGGTCGTAAGTCAAAAACGCGAAAATAATACATAGAAATTCTAAAATGAAATATGGTACAGGAAAAGTAATCAATAATGAAAAATGAATAAAGTGTTACTTGTAAAGTGTTACACCTTTAATGTAGTCAGCTGAATGCACATGGGGCCTCAATAATTTTTTAATTAAAAATGGAGAGTACATTAATTGGATGAAGCAGAGGAGACAGGGCTGGGTGGGTCATCAATTTTGCTTTCTTCAGACAGGCTAACATACTTGCTTGTTGAAAGTATTGGATCATCTTTAGGCAGTGAAGAGGTAGCAGTGGTGGGGCATGAGGAGACAGCAGTGGGGGACTTCGTAAAATATATGCCTTTTCTTTTCATTGTAAATCTCCCTGTAGCAAGCAAGTGCATCTTGGATCAGTTTGTCAACTTTTGCAAAATGCTCAACATTTTGATCCATTTCTTCAAACATTTGCATCCCCTTATTAATAGAAGCAAATGCCTCTGCCTTGTCCTTCAAAATTGTTGATACCGTCGAGTGAGAGAAGCCAAGGTCGTGTGAAATGGTTGCTACCGTTTTTCCGTTTTCATATTGCATTATTATTTTCATTTTCATCTCAAAAGTAATTGACTGTCTCCTTTTCTTATCAGCACCATGAGAACTCTCACTTTTACGCTTGCCAGCCATTTTAAAGGGAATTAGAAACAATTTTGTTGGTACACAGCGTGATCACTAACAATAACGACGGCCAAACACCAACTGAGCGGGCTGCGGCGTGGATGCTGTACACCACGAGGCGGCCCAGCCCACGCTGCTGTACGGGACGGAAACGTTTCGGTACTAGAAAATACGTAATTTTAAAAATATTTTATACGACTACGGCGGTCGTATGTTCGGGTTGTCGTAAGTCGAGGAATACCTATATACAGTAAAGGCCTCGAATAATGGACTAATTAAGCCGCAGCAATGTCAATACGTACTCGCATGGAATCCGTTATTCAGAAGTCCATTTCAGCAGTGAGGCACAACTGTTCAAAACAACAGCCAGCATATTACACTAACAAAGATTAGCTTATTTAAGTTCATAATAAATTAGTAGATCAAATAAAAAATTCATACTTATGATATTCTTTCAAGAAATTCAGTTGTTATTTACTTAGTGTCAATAATATAGGCAAGTTTCTAGAAAGTACAAGTGCCCTTGTGCAGTGTCAGATAAAGTGAATGATGTGGATGTGTTCAGGATACCGCATATATTTGAGTACACTGAGTATTTATGATCAAATTTTTATGCAAAAAGTATAGGGTCAATCTACATACAGTAAAAATCCCATAATTCAAATTAATAGGGGGCTCCAACCCTTGTGAATTATGAGGTTTTACGGAATATGAGGGACACCTCCTGAGGGAAAAAACCAAACCAAACAACAGTACAGCACTTTTTCTTTATCTGCCCCAATCACAATTTAAACATTTCTAAATACCTGTACAGTACAAAAATTTAGGGTTATCAGACATATTGGATCAAAAAATTCGGTAATGGTGGAAAAAGTTTGCACAGTAGACTAGATGTGCACTCCACGACAGGTTAACTTGAACTGACCGACACTCGTATAGTACTTGTTTACACTGAAACGAGATGTCGCTCGAAATGTGCGTCATATACAGTAGTCGTAAATGTCCCATAATCCGAAATACCAAACATTATGAAAATTGAAATATATATATAACAATGGTGTGTTACTTGTATTACTTTGGGTAGCCTTAAAACAGTGAATAACCTTCCCCAGGATCAGCATATGTATTGCTGCCACAGGTACTTGATTTCATCATTTTACAGTGAGTAAAATCTTATAAAAACCCTGTAAAATTTGGGGTAAATGCCCAGCAAGTGATATTTGTGCCTCTGGTAAGAGGCATGAAAAAAAGTATCAGTCTAGAGGAGGGATGGGGAAACTGTGGCCCTTGGCCTATTTTAGGTCTTCTGATTGTCTTGGTTGGCCCATGACTACATTTCAATAACATGCTTTTTTTCTCTTTCAAGGGGAGACTCGGGATACAAAACATAAAAGATTTTGCTATAATTTACAGGATATACATACAGTAAACATTCATTATATCAAATTCCTATTAGTGGAAGTTTGATTTAGCAGAACAAATTTGTGCCAGATTTTGCTTCTCTATAATAGTGACGCCTTTTGCTAGTTTCCCTCTGTGCCTTTTCACAAATAGTTGTGGTCCCGGTTTTATGTATTCTCCTAATGTGTGTGTGGGTGTGCATGTATATCTTTGTCACGATGCCTAAAGTGAGTACTAAATTTAGTGAAGAGAAGGGTTTGAGTGTGTGTCTCAGTTTTATAGAAACTAGAAAACTAGAAATTGTTATTAGTTATTTTGGTGATATCCTGTACATACAGTTATGTATGTGCAAAATTATAAGGTGTGTACACTTGGATGATTGAAAATGTTAATGTTGGATTTGTGACCTCGTCGGGCATTTTTGCCAAGTCTGACGGATGTCAGCTTAGGTAACTGGCAACCCACTCTTATTCTCATTATTTTTATGAGTGGTTTGTGACAGTCTACTTACTTTCTAACCATGAAAAATAACCATTATGGGTAATAATAGACCTCCCCATTACACATCTTCAGTCAACTGTGAGATGGCTATGCACGTTGCCATTGTTACATGTATTGAAACTATAAAAATTTTGTTAAAATCATTTCAGTACTGTAATGTGACTTAGAAATAAAGAAAATACTGTATAGTATAATATAAAACCATGTGAGGGAAGTGAACATTTGCATAGCAGCATGGAGCTCTTGTAACTACGTCGCCAGCCCAGTTGATACCGCGCTCCCTCCCCTGGAGCGTGATGTGACGTCACGGCATACACACAGCGCAGCATATCAGCCACACATGACTGAGTCAGCTAGTTAGCATCACCCAGAGATATTTTTTGTATACAAAATTGTATGTGCTATTGTATTTTATGATATGCCATATCTCATTTTTATTGTTTATTATAGGAGCTTTTCTTCATTTTCGGCATATACAAAATACAGAATAACAAAGGACTGAAATCTATTCCCATTATATCTACCAATAAAAACGAAGTTACCGAGGACAAAGTGAATTTCATAATACAGTCGACCCTCGTTAATTCGGACCCCTTTAATCCGGATTTCGGATAATTCGGACAAAATCTGAACGAATTTTTTTTTTTTTTTTTTTTTTAGGAATATTACCTACGCGGACCTTAAGCTAAAATGCTGGTCCACCCACTGGTGGGATAAAACACCAGCATCTTTTTGGTTAAATGTAACAACTCCACCACTAGTGTGGGGGGGATGCAACTTTTAGCTTCAGACATGAAAAATATTTACCATTTACTGCCAGTAAACAATGGAAACGTAAAATATGTACCAATTAGTAATGAAAAGTTGTGCAGTTCCTTCAGCAAATGAAGCTCACCAACTTACAATAAGCTAAATTACCTTACAACGTGTTTTCAGTAGTCTATGTTGAAGTTCTTAGCATAGGCTAACTTATCATATCATATACGGTATCACAGTTCTCATTGATCTACAAAAATACCGGTAATAAAAACCTTTTCGATATTTCACACGTAATATAATACCTGGTAATCTACTTCAACCTCCTATTGTTTACAACGACGCATGACGCACCACCAGCTGTTGAAGTATCAATCAGCTAGACGGTACACGTGTTTTTCGAATCGTTTTCAGTTAAAAACTGTTACATCACACGTATATTTTACCTAAACTGCGCCTGAATGAATATATTCTCGGAAATAAATAGTAGTTTTGCTGAAACGTGATGTATTTTAATGTAAAATAGGATAAAATACATGACGAAAACAAAAGATTTTACCTAACTTTCCGATGTTCAAGAGAAGTTACACATTTTTTTAATAGTTTTTGGTTAAAATACTGTTGTATTACAATGGTATTCTATTCATACTGCGCTTGATATAATGCATTCACGGAATGTAATATTTTTGCTGAAATTACATACGTATTACAGTGGAAAGTGGGATAAAATCGTGACGAAAACAATGACTTTCGCTTTCGTTCGTTCAAAAGATGTTACCGTAATCGCTTTTCGATTGGTTTTCAGTTAAAAAAACCATTGTATTACAATAATATTCTATCCTAATTGACTTGAATAAATACTACAATACCATATTTCTGAATATTTTTATTAAAATTCATCCAAATCATTTTCCTTGTCATCGTCTGCAGCACCAAACAGCTTCTCCCAGTCCTCTCCTTGAACAGGGCTAGAGGGTACGTGTTTTTCGAATTGTTTTCAGTTAAAAAACTGTTACATCACTTGTATATTTTACCTAAACTGCGCCTGAATGAATATATTCTCGGAAATAAATAGTAGTTCTGCTGAAACGTGATGTATTTTAATGTAAAATAGGATAAAATACATGACGAAAACAAAAGATTTTACCTAAGCTTTCGATGTTCTTGAGATGTTATTCGTTTTTTTACTAGTTTTCGGTTAAAATACTGTTATATTACAATGATATTCTATTCATCTGTGCTTGATATAATACATTCACGGACATGTAATATTTTTGCTTTAATTACTTACGTATGACAGTGGAAAGTGGGATAAAATCGTGACGAAAACAATGACTTTGAAATATAATGCGATATTAACCCCTAAATCGGTTAATTCGGACAATCGGCTAAAACGGACACCCTCCCCCCCCTATTAGTCCGAATTAACGAGGGTCGACTGTACATATGTCCACTGCATGTCCAGAGGTATAACAATATTAGATTTAGCAGAATCCTCCTCCTCCTCCCTTTTTTGGAATCT